TTATTTCCTAAAAATCAATGACAAATCAGAGTAAATAAAATTACCTCATAGTTCTACAGAGCATTTTTATATTTAACCAGCTGTTAGTTAAAAGAAAATTATATTGCACTAAAACAAACCGAAGATTACAAAGATTTATTTAAAAAATCCTTTGAACATCCTAGTATTTTATCTATGTATATTTAAATAATCTGTCATCCTCTTACAGAAGAATTGAACGTATCAATGATTAGCATTACACATAGTATAAATAAGTCAACCCTAAGTATGTCTTTAAATTTTTATCCAAATGCTGAATTTGTGACACAAAAGCTGAATGTTTACAGCTGTTATGTTAAACAAATTATTTTATGCCAAAAGCTAGTTTAAAATCTTAGCGTCGGCTGCTAGACTTTTTTAAAATTAAAACTTAATTTCTAAAAAACTGGGACCCTAAACTAAAATTATGGCTTCGACATTCCCTAGTTCTAAAAATTATCTTTCTTTCAACACAAAAATCATGAAAATCCGTCGAGTGGTTGATTCAGAATCGTGAAATAAAAAAACACAGTTTCGTTTTAATATTATAGATGCCTCCACTTTTGTGTCTGACAACTTACTTTACAAAATCAAGGAAAATACTGGTCAGTAAATGAAGAGTGGTTTTATGGTGTGGAAGTTAGTAGTTCCGCCTATATATCCAGCACAAACATCAGAAATACAGCATGAAACTCACTCTGTGAAATAGATGGCGCAGTACTCCGATTCACAATCTACTTGGGTAAAGATGAACCACCCTTGAGAATATTATCGTTTTATTATTTTTATTATCATCATCAATTGAGATTTTAACTCAAAAATGAGTGAAGGACGTGTGTAGAAAGAAGTGAGATGCCTTGTGTAGCTTTGTTACTGACTAAGGAAAGCTGTTTCATTAGCTAGGACCATTTATTAAAATCATAATAATTAAGGACAGCTGGGTTCAGTTTCGAACCATCATAAAGCTACACACTTCTCAGGATCAAACTGACAACCCTCGATTACTAGGCGAACATTACAACCACTGAGCAATATCTCAGACTGAAAGTAGTGACATACTTTTTGTCAGGAAATTTGGATGCTAGTCACAGTGGTTTTATGGATCAACCCTTGTATTGATTTAATATAAATACCACTATCGCACCAAGTGATGGGACTCACGTCTCTCAGTGTTGCTGGGAGCCATTCCCTCATCCCACTCATACGCCATCCTAATTTATTCACACTTTATAATGCTTTCGTAAAACATTGTAATTGACTACTAAAAACATGTTAGTTTTTCTATGCTGATAAATACTATCAATCAATCAATAAATCTTTATTCAATACATACAACAAGTGTACATGAATGTGTCATCAACCTAAAACTACTTCACATGATTTCACCTACTTCCCTACTTGCTTAGTCATACAGTTTTTTTGTTACAGTGTTCAAAACTTTCTAAACTATAAAATTCGCTATAAATTAAAAACCCCTTAAGTTTATTTTTGAATTTATTTACGCTACTTTTGTTTCTAATACTGCTGGGGAGGGAATGCATGAATTTGATTCCAATATAATTATGACTTTCCTTAAATTTTTCTTTTTTATGTTTTTTAGTTATGAAGTTTAGTTTGTTTCTAGTGTTATAATTATGTACGTCTTTCTGTCTTTGAAGTTCAGATTCATGATTTTTTAACATACATTATCGTCTTATAAATATAGAGACTGAAAACGGTAAAGAACTCTAATTCTTTAAAATTATTTTTACAGGATTCGTTTATATCGAGATTAAGGATACACCTAATGGCTTCTTTTTGTAAATGTAAAATTTTGTTTAAATTGAATTTACTTGTTCCACCATAAATTTCTATACCGTAAGAAATATGTGAGTGAATAGTAGCAAAGTAAACCTTTCTTAAGATTTCTCTGTTGCATAATGGATATAAGCGTCTATTAGCAAAAATACTTGAACTGATTTTATTACATAAGTTGTCAACATGTGAGGTCCAATTAAGTGTGCTATTTAAGGTGAGGCCTAAAATATTAGTTTCATAAACAAAATTGTTAAACAGTTCTTTTCTAGATTTTTTAGATTCAAACTCAATGAACGTTGTTTTATTTTCATTTAGTAAAAGATTTTTTTCATTCAAGTAATCTTTAATTATTGTGAGTGAATCATGAGTTTTATTTATAAGAAGCTCCATATTCTTATCATAAATCGACATACTTATGTCATCTGCATACAAGCACAGAATATTATTTTCTACATGTTCAAATAAATGTTTTGGCATCCCTCCCAAGTAGCACAAGAACAAGAATGGGCCCAACACTGATCCTTGTGGCACTGAGTATTTTACTATCCTAACCTCAGATTTAATATGGTACATTTTATTCCCACTTAAATGAACAATGTTAACAAACTGTTGGCGTCCCTCCAGATAAGATTCGATCCAGTTTAAGTCTTTGCCACCAATTCCATACATTTTAAGTTTATTCAGTAACTTTAAATGGTGCACGCTGTCAAATGCCTTGGACATATCCAAAAAGGCACCAATTACTTTGTTGTCCTCATCCAACTTTTCCAACACATTTTCAATATAAGATATAAGTGCTGTAGTGGTGGATTTGTTTTTTCTATAACCATGCTGCTCTTTATCTAATAAGTTATTAATTTCAAAATAATCCACTAGCTGAAAAAGAAAGCATGTTTCAAATAATTCTGAAAGAGCTGGTTGAATTGCCAATGGTCGATAGTTATTTGGATCTTTTTTGTCTCCTTTTTTATATATCGGGATAATTTTTGAAATTTTCAGCTTATCAGGATAAACACCTGTTATAATTGAAGTATTAATGACGTGTAAAAGTGGCTTTAATAAAACAGATTTAGATTCTTTTATTATTCTTATCGGAATTTCATCATAACCTGATGACCATTTAGGTTTTAATTGGTCTATTATGGATATTAAAATTGGTTCATCAATTGTTTTGCACTTAAACTTAGTGTTTGAAGCAAAATTTTCAGAACTAGTTTGGGTTTTATTCAGATTTGGTAAAACATGATGTTCCACCATATCAGCAAAATTATTGTTTAATATATTTGAAACAGCATATGGGTCCTCTATTTCGGCACCATTCTGCATTAGTATAACATTATTATGCACCTTATCTTTTTTACTTTTAGTTTCAGAGTTCACAATCTGCCAAACAGTTTTGTTAACATTGGTCGAGTTCCTAATTTTATTGTTAAAATGATTTTTTTTCTTAAGCTTTATAATTTTTCTATATCTTTTTTTACGTCCTTTAATACAATTCTTTAACTTAATGTTACTTCTATCATTCCTGTACAATTGGTGCTCTGCAATTAATTGACGGTGCTCATTGATAATTTCATCATCGATCCAGCTGTTATTTACATTACTCGTGACTATTTGAGTTTTTGGGAAATGTAAATCAAAATAATATTTAAATGTGTTATAGAAGTAAGTAAATTTGTCTTCAACATTACAGTTATAAAGCGAATTATTCAATTCTTATAGATATTAGATATGGAATACTATAAGCTTATATAGTATTCCATGGGGTGTGACACTGGCCGCTGTATTATATTGTTGCACTGTACATCATTATGCTTCATCAATGTACCGGTACTTCAATTACGAGGACTTCAAGTACAGATTACTCTAATTCTTTTATATAATACGTGAAGGCGAATTCCAGGAAACACTACTCCTCCGTTAATAATGGACAGATTTTTACAAACAATGTGTCAAAATTAAGTATTTTTTGTCTAGGCGCCCCCTTTCACCAATTCCTGTAATAAAAGTCCTCGGGCCTTGCCCCACAGGCCATCAAAATCCCAATGTATTTCTTATGAAGAAAATAATGTGTTTACTAAACAGACGAATAATTTGTATTACCGTAATAATTACGGCTGTTCATAGTAAACACATGATACATAGAAGAACGTTCGTTTTTAGAATGAGTTTGTTTTCAGTTTTGATAACTGGAGTGGAGTGATTGATTATCTTTAAGTTGACTCTTTTAAGTCATCGGAAATTGTTACTGTTATTCGTTTTGAAATGTAACGCGGTAACGCTTAATACTTTGCAATTGCTCGAATTCGAGCAACGGGTGCACTAGTATATACTAAAATGTGACAAGGTTGTATGGTAATATTTCAAATCTTGTGAGTAATACAAATGTTCTTAACACATTAGTTTTTGTGTAACCATACATAGAGTAACATTTTTTAATAAACGTGAACATCAATTAGTGCTGTGTACATGTAGCCTAAATTTTCATTGAGTTTGGATGTGTTTGTAGATGTTTTCTGACAGGAAGGATATTATCACCAATTCTGAGACAAACTGATTAGTGTTTGTACAGCCAACAGGTGGCTCTGGTATAGACATCCCAAGAACAAAACAACCTGTGCAGAAACAAAAAGATCACGTGGTTCGCGCCGGTAGGTGTGGCGTACCCTTCAAAACTGCGCAGCTCGAAATGGCTCAGGGTTCTTTTGTTTCTGGTATGTCTATAGAAGTATTAACTGACACCTTGTATTTCGTATAGGTACCACCTTTCTCTCCCAACATATACACAGCAATGCTATTTTATCAGAAGTTATTTTAAAAAATATCTATAATTGTATTTAAATAATTATCAATTGTCTCCATTTGTGCTCAATTTTATTATACTTTCCCTGTTGGGCTTACATAACAAAAAAAAATTTAATTCTTCTCTTAACCTAAGCATACCAATGTTACTCTTAGTGATTTTTAAAAATCGCCCAAATACTATATAACGTAATTCGGTCATTCCTATTGAGAGATTATACAGTTAATCATTTAGCTGTAGGTAAATATTTTTTACTGTTAAATATAAATCTTAAGTTGCATTTCCAAAGACTAAAAAAACAACAGAATATTGCTAAAAAGTGTTTACACTTAGTTTTCATTAACAACATCACACACAAAAATAACTTAAAAAGAAATCAAAGTCATTGTAAAATCAACCTCTTTATTCAGTAATAGTACCTATTATCATCCATGGAAATTTTTACCAGAGGGTTTTTATTTAATAACCTTGGTTCTTACTAAACATGATAACATTTAGTTAACAAAATGCAATAAAACAATTTTCAAAAATAAGTTATGTAATTTGAAAAATTAAGTTAGAAAACAAAAATTAACGGTGATGTTTTGTTTACTTCCGCCCAGCATCATTTAGGACTTTAGGTAGGCCGAGGAGGGAGTTGATGATCTCAGAGTTGCGTTTGTGTGCGTGATCGTTCCTTTGAGCCAGCTCAAGTATCCAACTGGCCAGTTCAGGAGCAGAAGGGACATACTGTGGACAAAAACAACAATTTGTAATAATAATTCAATACCTCTATAAAAAACCTTGCCTTATACAAAAAATTATTTCAAAACAAAAATGTATCCAACTAAAAATAAGTCGCTCTATCAAAAAAATAATAATACATCAGACAGTATATTGAAATAATCAATTCAATTCAAAGTAGATCAATGGTATCAATAGAAAAGGGAATTAATCAAAACAAAACCGATAAAGTTGAGTCATACATTTGAATATTTGATTACATGAAGCCACACATTAAATACCAAATAATTATACAATTACTAGCAGAGTACCTGTCCTTCGTACGGGGTTGGCATATAAGTATAAAATGTTTATTGCAGCTATGCTCAAGCTTTCTGTTTGCAATGGGGAAGGACACAATTTGATAACATTTGCTTCTTTAAATTTAGTATCAAACATCTACCATAGCCATAATGTTCTACCACTAAAAATAAATTATTAAAAATTTGCAAAATATCACAAATTATTCATGAAATTAAAAACATAAACATAATTGTAATCAATCCTTCTTTGACAGTTCTCATTGCTTACCACAGTTTTATTGTTGTTGCTTGGTTCAAATTATATTATAGTTTTTTTATCATAAATGCAAAAAAAAATAGTGCTGCACCCTGTTGGTAAATCTGATAACTTTAATGCTTTTGCATATCATAGAACAAACCTTTTTATTTGAAACAGCTGACTAAATTCTTTTATTCCCTCTAAATATGAATACTCATAAGGTTAACATGGGGAACTACAGAGCCACTGGGGCGGAGCCCGAAAGGATTTTTGAGATAAGAATACGCCTATGTTAATCGGGAATGTAAGCTATCATCATGCCAAATTTCAGCACAATCCGTCCAGTAGTTAATGCGTGATTGAACTTCAAACAAACAAACACACAAACTTTCACATTTATAATATTAGTAAGATAAGAAGATAAGATAAACATGTGCTGGTTCTCTGGTACAATTAGTTATCAATGAAGTATATAAGACATGAATTATAACAAATAATTTGTCTTAAAATACTGTAAGAAGACAAAAACGTTAATCCCACAACTGCACCTTCAAACATACACAAACACAAGGTTCATGTAACACTAACTCTCTCACACTAACACTCTAACACAAGATTTAAAATAGGATAAGACGTCTGCTTGCAGTATCAAAGTCAATGTTAACTGACCTGTGCCTCGATATCCCGGTCGACTTGATATCTTACGGCATCAACATATTGGAGACACACCACTGCAGACAGGACTAATAATGCAATGCCTTTGTGCATACTGGAAACATAAACTTGTGGTTACTCAATAGTCACTGTATAGCAGCATAATCATTGATTATTTATATACATATAAAGATATCGGTGTATAACCAACGCCTAAAATTAAAAGTTGTGTTTCATTGTTGTAGATAATACATTTTGTTGTATGTCAGCCTCTTTTAAAAGGCTTTTGAGGGCAACAAATTCACCTATTTACGAAATCTAACCCAGATAAATGGGGAACTTTAGTTCATTTAGCCTCCCCCAATTTGTTCCGTAAATAAGAAATATTTTGTACCCAAAATAATTAATTGGTTTAGTATTATTTCATCAATTATTGAGATGGTGATTAAATGATATAAAATGTCATTATAGTTGTTGATTATTTTAGATCAATTTAAGTTAAATAAATAACTAAGAGACAATTCAGTTAAAACTGTCAATATATCCACTTTACCTAATCGGATACAAAAATAATTAGATGTCTGGTTCTAACCCCTCACCCCACCCCCAAAAATCAGACTAAAGGTCTCTTCTAGCTTGTGTCGTAACTTACCACAAGAGGAAGAGAGAACTATTTAGTCACTCTCTGTGTCACCGTACACGAAACGAAACACATCAAAACATGCTTTCGATTTTACACATGTCGGAGATGTCTACTTGCAATATTCAAAATCAACAGTTTTCTCCCGAAAAATGTCTATTAATTCTTATTTAGAGGTTCAATGTCACAGTGTGTACTTTGTTAATTGAAATAATTCTGAGAGTACGATAACATGTGATTGTAAATAGAGAGAACCCATAAACGCTGGGCAGAATTTTTAATTTGTATTAACTTATATACCTAAACCCCAACTTAAAATTGTGGCAGTGCAGTCTACTAGGCAAAAGAATGGCATTTTTACTAACACAACATATAACACATATTCAGCTTATGTTTACCCACCTCTACCTTTAGTCTACTACTACTATAATTTCTACTCCCTACTCTCTTAAATCTGTGATTTACACACACAAATTCTCAAAATGCAAGCAATATAAAAAATAATCCTGTTGGCCAAATGACTTAAATGGTATTTGAAGAGTGACAATTATATCTCAAATTACGCAATAAGAATGCCTTTTCCAATTAGATGACATAGTATTAAACTTTGGTGATATTAAAATATACTATTTAACATATCTAAATGTACTAAATCTTAAAGTCTTCGGGGTACATTCTTATAACGAAATGACTAAATTTTATTCACTCTTTAATAAAAAAAATTACTAGTAAAAACTTTAATTTGTAAAATAACGCATAATTATGATGAGCGCAATGATTCTACACTGTGTGGTGCCATTTATAAACTTGTTTTATATAGTCTGGATACAACCGTTTTGTATGTTTTATTAGGCATCATGATCAAAACTACGCCACACTAACATGTCTTATATCATGCAACATACTATATCAAGAGGCATAGATATACGGTTCAAAATTAACTAGAATTATTATTTAACACTCTTATTGTCAACCTGCAGAGTCATTATTAAAATTACACAAAAATTAAAATTAAAGTTTTTCTCCAACTGCCATACAAAGTATTTATTTACCTGAATATCGAGAGAGGTAAGGTAGGTAGATGATCAACGGATGAGATGCAAGTGGACTTTTACAACAATGGAAATGTCTTTTATATTTTTCACCTCCCTTCAATTCCAGACGCTCCACGGGGGTCGGTGACGTTGCAGTTTATTATGGTTCTTCGGGAGTTACTTACTCTCGAACTGATTCCTTTTATTATAACCCTGGATTGACATGCTTAGAAATTATTTATCAGTGCTTGGTTGAGCTTCATGGGTCTAAACTATTGCATTCCTAATTTCAACTATTAATTTACACATAAGATGGTAAACTGCAATATTCTGGGTATGCTGAATATATATATATATATATTCAAGATACAGTATTTTAAACAAAAAATAAAAACTATGTTTAAATCACGCGTATTCTAGAATTCCTGAGCGACTTTCGCTTTGAAATTTGACCAAAAATAGACTAGGGGGTGAAGTGGGGTAGGTGTACGTGCCAAAACGACTAGATGTACTTTAACTTACAATAACTTCAATTGTATTTCAGATATCTTAATGAAACTTGGTGAGCAGAATGCTTGGAATGTTTTGTGTATGTGGTTTTTTTTTATTTGTAAATTATTAAACTTTTTTTATATAATTTTTTTTATAAACTGATGTCCTGTGCGTACACTTGCCCCTGAAATCGGGGTAAGTGTACGCACCCCCCTTATACTTTTATTAACTTACATTAGGTTGAATCTGGCAAGTGGAGCATAGCTTAGAATCTGCTGATTAAAATGGTTTTTTATTTGTTAAATTAGCTCCAACCGTTCAGGAGTTATGAACTTTTTTGTGAAACTCCGCATACAATTTTCGTGAAACGGCTAATTGGTACATTTACAATTATTATTATTAGTGTGTTAATAAATTATTTTAAATGAATTAAATGCTGTAAAAAACTTATTTAATATCTCACAAATAATGGTAGACTAGTTAGAATCTAAAAACACAATTTTAAATATGCGTATACAATTCTTACCTGGAGGTGAATTCTGCACTGAAAATGACTTTTTTTTTTATTCCACCAAATAATTCTTAAGCAGTTCATATTAGGCCTCATGACTCTTTCACTAACACTATATTTAAGGAACTGTTCACTTGCTTTGAAAATACTTATTATTTACATATTTACAGCTAGTTTTTTTTTATTTTTTTATTGAACGTTGACAGAAAAGAGAGAAGTGTCAAATATTAACTCCCCCCTTCTGCCTGATGTAGGTTCTGGTAGGATTTTGAGCACATCCTCTTCAGGAATGACTGAACAGTCTTCTTTTTCAGGCCAGTAAAACACGTTGTCACCTTTTTTCTTATAAACTTAACGACAGGCCCGATGTCATCGAATGCATTTTTTTTTCATTGCATTTAGGGCTATGTACACTTACCCCAGGGCTGGAAGTACACTCACCCCAACCACTGTTTGGCCCGGAGAAAGTGTACGCCCCCCCCTATTTTTTTAACAATACATTTTAGAGGTACATAAACCTCATTTTTGGATTCGTCTTACAAAACTGTATCAGTGTACCAATTTTCAAGTTTCTATTTCTATTTTTTTATTTTATATGATTTTTCAAAATTTGAAGGCGGTACTTTCGTAGGAAGTAGAAATGCAAAGGTGTTTTAAAACTTAATTTTCATGTATAAATAATAAATAATTATAAATGCTGATTTCTGACTTCAGAATCTGAAAGATCACATTTCAAATCACATAAAAAGATGAATTAATTTTTTTTTCCATTTATGGCTTATTTATAGTCAACGCGTCCACTTTCCCCCTGCGTACACTTACCCCACTTCACCCCCCATTTTTGGTCATACACTTTGGGTTTGTTTTTTTTTTCATTTTTTATACCGTGAGGAAGCCAAGCTAATTAAGTCTATTTTCGATTTGTGTTTGCTGGATGAATGTTGTCTTGAACACGAGAACACATCTGTTGTCTTGAACTTGCCTTTGTCCCCCACATGTTTAAAATTCCTATTTAGGCTATACTTAAAACTGGCTTCTGTTTCTTGGGATTAAAATCGCATACGTTAGTTAACTAAACCTCCCCTAGTACAATTTTGAACACGTTTTCCGCTATTCAGGGTATTTTCTCATTATCTGGTTTATATTATGCTTCCCTTAAACCTTAGTGTTCACGTAACTACAAAAACAGACAATTGTTAGATGGAAAATCAAGTTCTTTCTATTTTATGAGACTAAATATATGTACATCTTACTGAAAATAAACAGACTGATTTGTGGAATACAGGAACGTTGCCAGTCAAGGTTTGAGTAGGTGGCGTCACGAACGCAAAGACTGAGCAACTTTCTGTGTGTCAAATATTTGTCTCTCCTCATCATACATCATACGAGTCATAGACGCAAACTCATTAGCACACGAGCAGTCACTATTTCGGCTGTTTTTTTTTTTTCATTAGTTATCTTCCTACTCAAGTGCAAATAAAACCCCTAGAGCCAATCTTGTGTGTGACTATGTTTATAGTTTGTACTATTGCTCAATGACCAACTGATGTATTTCAAACGCAAATCTAATAGAACCCAATAACACAATAAATTAATGTTTTAATTTAATTTATAAATTCACATCAAAAGTATATATGTTCTTTACTTTTTATTCACAACCAACTAATAACCATGTATGCCATAACTTATTATCTACAATACGTAATCTACATTACGTACTTTATACACTATAAAGATGTTACTGTAACGATTGTGTGATGTTTACTGAAAACTATTTTCTATAAACAAAAATCCAAATGAGTGCTTGGCATTTGTATTTTCTGGACTCATTGATTTTATGCCAAAGCCACCTCACCCTTGTTAAAACTAAGGATCCATCCGACAGTAGAATCGTGAGTATGACAGTTTGGCAGGCGGAGTCTTAAAGAAAATGAATTATGTAAGAATATTATTAAAGCTCTAATTTTGTAACTGGTTTATATAGCTATATGACGTGTTAAAACTAAAATAAATATGCAGATTTTCCCCTTTCTAACGTTTTTCACTTTGATGGTAAACCATTGGGTATACAATACTAGAAAACTGTATATCATTTTAGTTTCAAGTACAGGCTACAGGGTGGTTTCAAAACCACAATCAGTGAAGTTAGTGTCGCTTCCAATCACTATTTAAACAATCAGAATTTAAATTTAATGTGAAATCTGTTTAAATCATTATCTTGTACATATAAGCATTATGCTTAAATTTGGAATAGATTATTTGTTGAAATCAATTATGATTGAACACACAAGGAAACTCACCAAATCGTCTGGGTATCCAAACTCACTATATAATATTGCACCTTTTTTGCCCACCTATTGTCTGTTATTGGAAAAATATAGATACCGTACACAAGCGCGTTTGGGGGCAAACTGTCCGAATTCATAGTTTTTGTCATACCCAAAAAGACTATGATGGTATTGAACTGATAAAAATTAATTCAGCTTCCTAAAAGTAATACAATTTAGGTCGAAATTTACGATAATATTTCATTACTTAACTTTATTTTATTTATACGCAGTTTGAAATAAACAAAATTGCCAAATTTGATTAAAATATATCCATAAACAAGCAAACTACAACAGCTATAGAAATAACATGGGAATTTTAAATTTAAGGTTTTTTTATTATCTCCGTAACCGTTAGGCACACAACAACGCTTCAATGTACAAAATTATTTATTTTTTCTAAGCTCTACAAAATAGTTTGGAAATAAATTGTGAAAATTTATGTTTTTAGAGTTAAAAATGGGAAAAACTAATTTTTACCACATAGAACCCCCCCCCCCCCCCATAAACCCCCTTCCCATAGTCCGGTCATGCTGGTTCGCGAACTCGTTTGAATAAACGTAGGTTTACACGTTTCTACTAAATTTCATCAAAATCGGATCATTTTTTCTCAAGTCATCCCGCTATCGGACACATTATATATATATTCGTCGGGGTTATGTAAAAAGGGCGAATCAACCATTTCAGCATTTTTCAGGAGAGAGGTTTTACGTTTCAAACTCATAGGAAAATTATAATATACAATTTTACATTGCTAAAACTTTGAACTAATGAACCTTTTATTAGTACAATATTTTTTTTAAATAAATATTTTATATAGTCCAATGTAGCCTTTTTCGCCCTTTTTACAAGATGCTGTTGTTCCATCAGGTACATTTAATCAGTAATTTCAATCTATAAAATAAAATTACAATTTTTTCTGTACATTGCTCAGAATTATATTTTTTTGTTATTTTTACGTTTTATACATTAAAGAAACCGAAACAAGTCTTCTATAATATCTCAATTTCTGTCTGTCTGTCACGGCCCAGAAGGCATTTTACGGGGCCTTCTCCAGAAAAACGGGAGTACTTATCAACATTCAAATCATTTCAATGTATTCGCTGGATTGGTGAGAGTGTCTTTAGCCATTAAAATATGTCCTCACTGCTTTGTAAATAAAATGACGTTTAAAAATCCAATTTTGTGCGAATTTTGTCAAGTTTCCCCCAAATGATCGGTATGGAAAGTACGACATTTATGAAATAACGAACAGCTGTTAGGATCTTCTTGGATCAAGTTTATTTATTCTAGCTGTCACTGATACTCGACGTTCTGTACCCACGAGCACCTCAGCTTCCACAAGCACAGAAGGCCTTCGAACCTGGGATAACAGCTATTTGTGTAATAGCTTCACTGTATATCTTCTGTTTAGATAGTTGTTTTTTTCAACAGTTACAGTTGCGAACTGTGCATTGTGATTTTGTAAAGGTGTTTATTCTTTACTGTTTGTTTACTTTTGACTTGAGCTGCTTGAAAAGGCGAAACGGCACACGGAAGATTTCTCAGGTGCCGTTTGATGTCACTAACTGCTGACGTCACTTTGAGGGAACACCAATACCGCAACGATACGGTTTTGAGCCATCGGCCTCGGTGGTGCAGTAGATAGCGTTGCGGCATTGACTATAGTCTAATACACTAATCACCGTCTAATCACCGTTTTGATGGTGTCTCGGCTGATGTTCTTAAAGAAAATGTAAATTCACTCTCTAAACCATTATTGCATATCATAAACTTAAGTTTGGCTAGTGGAATATTTCCGGACAAGTTTAAATTGGCAAAAGTTTTTCCTTTATACAAATCAAACTCCCACAAAGACAAAAATAATTTCAGACCAATATCTTTATTGAGTGCATTCTCTAAGGTGCTTGAAAAAATAGTTAAGGAACAAATGGTGGATTACTTGAACCAGAATCAGATCCTAGCAGACTGTCAATATGGGTTCAGAAAAGATAAAAATGTTACAGATGTTCTTTTTCATATCAACAAAGAAATTTTTAGTGCTCTATCCGAAAATTTGCGCTCAGTATTAATTTTTTTAGATCTCAAAAAAGCTTTTGATAGTGTAGACAGAAAGCATCTAATTTCAAAATTATCTGCTATAGGTGTAAGAGGGAACGCTCTCTCATGGTTCGAAAGCTACCTCAGAGATAGGCGACAATTCGTATACATAGATGGAGTCAATAGCGATGAGGTGCCTGTTGACTATGGGGTGATTCAGGGGAGTACCCTTGGGCCTATTTTATTCCTAATATATATAAATAATATTTCTAAATTACCAATTTTCGGAAAAATGTTTCTTTTTGCAGATGACACATTGATTTATGTTAAGGATAAGACATGGGAAGGTGTGAAGAGTAAAGCTCAATCAGATCTCAAATTAGTAAAAAAATGGCTCGACCAAAATGTACTATCTCTTAATGTTTCCAAAACAAAATTCATGCCTATTTCTCTCGCGTCAACAGCTGACTATAACCTAACCAATTTGATCTTGCACAGTTGTCTCAACCAATTCAATAACAGTTGTTCGTGCGATACCTTAGAGAGAGTTAACTCATATAAATATTTAGGAATAATTTTTGACTCACATATGAAATGGATAGAGCATATTAATTTCTTGCAAAATAAAACTAGAAAACTTATATTTGCATTTAGACAGTTAAGTGATGTTCTCAGTTTTAAAGAAATTAAATCAACATATTTTGCATATGTACAGTCGGTTTTGTCTTATGGAATATTAGCTTGGGGAGGGGCGTACAGTTCACATCTCACAGGTCTGATTCTGGTTCAAAAGTCTATCCTAAAAGCTGGTTTCAAAAAGTGTAAAAGATACCCCTCAGATTTACTATTTCATGAAACTGGAATATTCCCCATTGCAAAATTGTTTATCAAAGATCTTCTAATTTTTATATTTAAAAACTTCAATTCAATTTTTACCTCCATAACCCACACACATAATACAAGATATGCAAATAGAATTGGAATTTCTACTATTCAGCAGCACAAATCCTTTTCAAAAACAAATTGTTTCTACATAGCACATATTTTGTTCCGGAATTATTCCACTATGTATAAAGCAAATCAGTTATTTCATTCTCCTACATTAGGTGTATTCAAAAATCGAGTTAATAGATGGTTATTGGATATCAGCGATGAAGAGGCCGAGGCTCTTATCACTACTGATAACAGGCGACCTGCCACTGTCTGACAGCACTAAACGGACCCCCTCTGCAAACTCTTGCAACCAACAAAATTCTTTTCCGTTTTATTTATTGGCTTCCCCTTTAAACAATTCTGTTATTAAAAATTTTAATTAATATTTACTCCAATTTTTTATATAATCTACTTATTTTTATTTTTACAGGTTCCCATAGCACTTAGTACATTTTTATTTAAACTTTTTCTTCAATTGCAAATTAGCTCAAAAAATACATATATAATTTTTAGCAACTCGAGTCTACGCACAGACCACTGAGGTCTATGTAGACTCATTTCCATTATATATTAAATTAGTTATTATTCAAGCCGGAGCAAACACTCAACTAGTATTTAAGTTTTTACTTTTATAACTTATAAATTAATTTTACTAGAATTAATTTACGTTAACAATTACTGTATAATGCTTCAGGGCTATATATATTTTTATTTTATTTTATTGAAAAATTGTAAATTTGTATATATTGTGGAAATAAACTGATTTGATTTGATTTGATTTGATTTGGTTGCGGGCTGATAATCCAAATGATCCGGGTTCGAATCCCACCGGCGGGACTAACTTTTTATCAACATTTTTTTCATATCAGCAAGTTTGGTTGGTTTGGTTAGGTTATTACAGTTTAATTTTATAATTAAAAAATTATAAAATTGAATTTTAGGCAATTATAATTTTATTTTATGAACAAAACCATTTTTTAGATTAGTAAACCTTTATTCGATTTTTCCATTATCAGCACGTTTGGTTAGGTTATGACAGTTTAATTTAATAATAGAAAATTATAAAATTGTCTGTTTTTTCAGACGCAGCAGTTAGTGACGTCAAACGGCACCTGAGAAATCTTCCGTGTGCCCCACCGCTTGAAAAGGTGTTTATGATTATGAAAATGAAAATTAAAGTTTTGTGAGTGTGCTGAAGCTGATTTGTTATTAGGTATTGACAATTAGCCTAAATGTTTTGCGTGCATGAATTATTTATGAAGTTTTAAAAGTTTAAAGTATTCATGAAGTTTACTTAACCTATCTTTTTCGGATTCCTCAAGAAAGAGAGTGATTGTTAATGTTAGGTTGGGTTGCGTTTGTGTTTGAATTTGTTAGATTGGAGTTTTGGTAGTGGTAGGTCTAGTTTTATTTTGATTAAGTGAACATTTAAAACTTCATAAATAATACATGCACGCAAAATACTTAATTGTTAATACCCATTAACAAATAATCAGCTTCAGCTCACTCACAACACTTTAATTTTCATATTCATAAAACACCTTTTCAAGCAGCTCAAGTCAAAAATAAACAAACAGTAAAGAATAAACACCTTAAAATCACAATGCACAGTTCGCAACTGAAACTGTTGAAACAACTATCTAAACAGGTCCAATAAAGATATACAGTGAAGCTATTACACAAATAGCTGTTACCTATCCCAGGAACTGTTCCAAGGCCTTCTGTGCTTGTGGAAGCTGAGGTGCTCGTGGGTACAGAACGTCGAGTGTCACTGATATGTCTACATTAAATGCTGTTTACAAAAATACCGCAACCATTTCCGATCACGTGTTGTAAGCAAATCCAAACCAAGTGCAATAATTGAAAACGTGTTTACATACATAACGGATTTAATTAATTGCAAGTGCAATATTGGTAATCGTAAATGAAATTAAATGACTAGGAATCATCCAGGTCAGGAACACCGGAGATTCTTTGTGTATCGAACTGTTCTTTAGGTTTGATAACCAGGAAAAGACCGTGAATCAGGGTATTTACTCAGGGGAGGTATAGAAGAGGCTACGATGACAGCTGTGGGCTTCTTATTAGCTGAGGGAACGCCATTACCGTAACAAAACGGTCGGTAGCAATCGGCCTCGGTGGTCTAGTGGTTAGCGTGCCGGGCTGATATACAGTAGGTCCCGGGTTCGAATCCTGCTGGTAGCATTTACTTTTTGTCCAAGATTTTTTTATTATCAGCAAGTTTGGTTGGTTTGGTTCGGTTATTACAGTTTAATTTTATTATTAAGTCATTACAAAATTTTAATTGTTACTAAACTACTACTAAACTTTTGTTATATTATTTCTTTATCAGCAAGTTTGGTTAGTTCGGTTAGGTTATGATAGTTTAATTTTATAATTAAAAAATAATAAAATTGAATTTGAGACATTTATAATTTTATTTTATGAACAGAACTATTTTTGCGATTAGTAAACCTTCATTGCCAAAGTGCTCTCTACTACAGCGCTGTTCACGAAGGAATTTTGAACTAAATGCCTCATTCGTACCTCCCCTAAGTCAGACCCGTGAATCAGTGTTGTATCGTTTAAACAACGATAAGTATAACCATTGTCTATTGGATAATAGTCAAGTATAACCATTGACTATTGGATAATAATAGTCAAAGGTATAACCACACTCGTCCGGTAAACACCTATTTCAGGACTAGTAACGTAATATACTATTACTTGAGGGTGTGGGCATGGTGTAAAAAACATAGGTGTGCTATTCCCGTCATATGCTGACGTCATGTCTCCCAAATTGAAAACAATTGATTGATCGCATAATTGCTAATTAATTGTCGGGGTTTTAACATTAGGTAAAGCAATACAAAATTTAAAGCAACTCTTACTCTATGGTTCAATTTATACTCCATGAAGAGAACAAGAAGAGAAGAAGCAGTCGTCAGTTTTCAGTAGTTTGTCTGTTTATTTGCTATTTGCTACTGTCAAATCTGGGATGGGATTTAGGTTAGACTGCAAGCATTGGTATATCGTCTACTTTTGTTGTTAAGTCAATTTGTTGATGGAAGCTTAATTATTACCATTGCAGTTGCAGTTAAATTCCACAATGGAATTACAAAATATTTACTACAACAAGTCGGAATATGTTGAAACGGTAAGTTAGCTTAGACCTGTCCTATGGCATGATAGTCAAATTAGGAAGCTTTGAATTGAACGTGACATGAGTTTTCATTATTTGTCGGTTCTGTTTGTTTAAAATAAAAATATAAGGTTGGGAAATGTTGGAATAACTCTCGTTTGACATAAATTTAGTAAGTTAGGAACAAGAATTTTGAATTGCATTGCATTTCGGACATCAGCATGTTTGCTGTTAGGCTTTGTCCATAAACAGTACTTCAAACTTCATTATCGAATAGATTTACGTTTGTGTATCGAATGAAACAATCGAATAATCGATATTTTCATTCGGTTGTTTGTGCCAACAGATATGGAAGTCTACCCTTTGTTTTAATTTGATTAGGCCTAGATTTTTGCCAAACTTATTTCCATAAACACGACATACTTAGGCCTATTTATTCCCCACTTAAATAACGTTAGATATAACAAGTAAGTTTACTAAGGTTTGCTGCTAAGGGAAAGGTAGAAAGTGTGTTTTTTTTACCTAAAGTAAGTTTGGATGAATAAAATAAATTGGCCAAACTAGATAAAAATATAAGGCCCATAAACCAGCAACGTACAACAGTTTCATTTTTCTCAATAAGAATAACATGAAAATTTCAAATGTATTTTTTTTATTTTCACCGTAATCTTTTATTGTAACTTAAGACGATGGTAGGCCTAACTTACTTTCAAAGTTAAACGTTCAGCATTAAATTTCATCTCCATTCTAATCGAGCTCCTGAGCTGTTAACTTATAGCTTGATATTCAATACGAAATAGGTTACATAGGCCTACCTTACAAATTCGACATGTTCAGCTCAATGTTGTTTACATGTTACGGTTTGTATCCGCCATATTCAATATTATCGATGACTTTTGTCGATATATCGATATATTCGTTTTTTTGTATAGGCAAAATAATATAATATGGATTAAGAAATGAAATTGTTCTAAACTAACCTAACATTTTTAACTAACCAAACTTGCTGTACCATTTCAAAATTCTGTTTGATAACCTAACAGAAAAGGAATGTGTGGAGAATATCAAACAGAATTTAAAATGGTATTTTGCAGCAAGTTTGGTTAGTTATGTTAGGTTAGTTTAGAACAGTTTCATTTCAATATAGTATTTTTTGTAATTGTTGCTGAGACTGAACAATATGTAGGCTATTTATTGAATTTGTCAGCTGATTTGTTTCAATTCGTTAATATTAACATATCGGTTCAAAAAATATTGATAAATAAAAAAAACATCAATAATAATGAATGTTCCCTTTAACGGAAAAGCACCCAACAAGGCTGTAGACCTATATGAATATTGGGCATTTCCATGTATTATAAACTGTATAAATTTGAAAAAAAACATTTTTGAAATTTTAAAACCCAATTAACCCTATCTTTCCATGACCTGAACTTTTTGGGTTGCAAACTCATTCAGATTTAACATTCTCTACACCCTAAAGCCAAATTTCAAAATCGGATCAGAATTGCTCTATTTATCACTTTCATGGCGTAGGTAGGCTATAAATATTTAAAAATTTGAACAAATTGTGTTTTTGGCCTCTGGAGACATCAAAATGAAAAAGAAAATTGGTCCCGTGTCTAGGTCTTACCGTGCCACCTAAGGTAAAAGCTACTTCCCTATAGAGAAATTTGCTAGTGTTTTGATATAAAATACCTTCTTTTATAAGGAAGGTAGGCCAAAGCAACGCCTTGTAATCATCGTGGTTCTTGACATTATTAAGTTACCTTTTTGATTTGGATGTTGCCTTTTTTATGTTGTAGTCAAGTCACTAATCAATAAATATAAAATTTAAAGAAAATTTTTTGAAATCTTGTCATTATTATTTCCAAACTCATTTAATTGCATAGGGTAGTTCTACATCCAAACAATTCTTAGAATAATAAAGTAGCCTACCGTACCTACCCTTTTTAAATGCTAAGAGAAATTGTCAGGGTTATGAATATTCAAAAGCTAATTTAGATCAGTAAATTAGGATACAAGTTTTTGTGTGAGAATGTTTTGCCAACATAAGGCTATAAGGAATAGACATAATTTAAGTTAAAGAGGAGATAACGTTTTTAAACAGCCACAGTAGTTTTTTACCACAGGAACGTCACAACAACGCAGAGAGATTATACTGTTATACTGTCCACATGTGTCTGTATCACACTGAGACAGTAAATTTGACAAGTTGTAATATTTCAGGCATCAGGAAACAAAGTCAGCAAACAAACTGTGTTGTGTGGCTCACAGAACATTGTTCTCAATGGCAAAGTGATAGTGCAATCCGATGCTATCATCAGAGGTGATTTAGCAAATGTTCGTATTGGACGGCATTGTGTCATCAGTAAAAACTCTGTCATCAGACCACCGTTTAAAAAGTTCAGCAAAGGGTAAGAATGTCTCAGTTTGGTTGTAAAAATTTGCTAGTGTTACTGTCAACTATGTTAAGTCTAAAGCCCAATGAATAAAGTAATATCCTTCTACGATGGAAAACAGAAAATGAAAACTAGGCTATGATTCAGTTACACGTACATGTGTTAGGGAAAAAAGTAATAAACTCAGACTAACTGGGGGGAAACATGTAATGTCCATGTGATCTAACAATATAAGGTTGGTGTAAGATTGACAAGTAAAGTGCTTATTCCTTCTCCTAAAACTATATGGAACAACTCAGGACAACTAGGATGGAGCTGGGTGGGTCAGTAGTTAAAATGTTCTCCAGGTTAAAAGGTTGCCGGTTTCTTAAAAAAAAGTGTGTAGCTTTATAATAGTTTGAAACTGGACCCCAGCTGTACTTGATCGTTAGCATAGACAAAAAGAATTAAATATAGACCGTCAGCTGTGCTGCGGTTACCATAGGTTCTGGCGCACACCGCTTGAAGCACCACGGTAGTTACGGCGTACGCGCTACGTAAACTACAGCGGTGTGCGCCGGAACCTATGGTAACCATGGCAACCGCAGCACGGCTGACGGTCTATATTTCATTCTTTTTGTCTATCTCGTTAGTTAATTGGGCTTTTAATCAAATGGTTCTGATTAATGAAACAGCTGTTGTTAGTCAGTAACAATGCTACTCAAGATATCTTGATCCATTCTGACACTCATCTTTGGGTTCAAAGGTGGCGTCCCCATTTCAATTAATAGTTAAAAATAGAAAAAATTACAAAACACAAGCAGAAATATTGGTCTTGATAGTGTCATTGATAAAACATATAGTAAATTTCCCATCCTTACGGAACAGTTGAAGCCAATTTTATCGTTAGTTCTGTCCGGTGTACTGCAGAGTCTGTGTTTTATTTACAATTCGTTTTTTTGTTATTTCAGTCATTTAAAACCCAGTTCGACAAAATAAAACGATATAATCATAAACAACATCTCATCCTCTATAACCAAACAGTAAAGCACAAATCATGAAATTAACTCTAAAATAATAGAAACACAATTTTGTCAACACTGGCCACCAGTGACACTGACATGATCTAGACATGAAAAACGAGCTTCAAAATTTACAATGGGATGGCAAGTCTACTTGTGTTGGTTAGTCTATGATAGTGTTATATCTTACTGATTCTATTTATTTTTCTTCAGAGTTGCTTTCTTCCCTCTTCACATGGGTGAACATGTCTTTGTTGGAGAAAACTCTGTTGTTAGCGCTGCAGTCATAGGCTCATACGTACATATTGGCAAAAATGTTGTCATTGTAAGTGCAATATATCTACTGAATGAAAAGTTATTTTAGTTAAAGTTTATGTGCAGTATAACCTCATATAATCCTTCCTAATATAATAAGAGTTTTCTTAATCCTAATAGCTATTTAACAGCAGTTTGTTAACATTTCATACCGCTTCTTTAGGAATGCACGACTATAAACTACACAGTTTTGCTGTAAGGTTTACTGTGATTTAGTAGTTTAATTGTTTAACACAGTCCCAGAACACTGCTGTGTTTATTTGCATTGCCACCAGTGCCATTAAAATAAACCCAAATAAAGAATGAATAAAATACCAAATTTCAAGGAGGGTTCCAAACAGTTCAAAATTCAACACTTGCCGATTGTGCGGATGTATTGATCCTCTTAAACCTGTGCATGATTTTTCCTGAGTGCTTCTGTGCCCTCAATAGTAATACGAAAATTAGTTAGTTGAAACTGTGGATCTCATTGTATCGACCCCTAAACTCTTTTATTAGCTCCATCTGAGCACTCTCAAAAGAAATTTGTGTGTGGATGGATCTAGGGGTGGGCCTACCTGTTTTGTGAATAAAGGTTTATTCCACTTTATCTTACTAATATTATAAATCTGAAAGTTTGTGAGTTTGTGTGTGTATTGCTCAATCACGCATAAACTACTGGACGGATTGGGCTGAATTTGGCATGATGATAGCTCACATTCCCGATTAACATTAAAGCATATTCTTATCTCAAAAATCCTTTCGGGCTCCGCCCCAGTGGCTCTGTAGTTCCGCATGTTAACCTTATGATTTTTCATTTTTAAAAGGAACTAGCTGTAACCCGCGGGCTTTGCCCCGTTTAACTTCTTAATTTTCAAGATGATCTCGTTCGCATGGCTCAATCACGTCCTGGTTGAAGTTTGTTCGCTACGCTCACTCACCTTTAGGTTGGAGCTCGTTCGCTACGCTCACTTGCCTTCAGGTTAGCTCGTTCACTACGCTAACTCGCCTCCAGGTTGAAGTTCGTTCGCTATGCTCACTCACCTTTTGGTTGCAAATTAGCTGTTGTCATAAATGTAAAAGAAATAATAGTACTGCACCCTGTTGGTAATCCTTGTAACTTTAATGCTATTGAACATCATAGAACAGAACCAACTTGTTTAATTGAAACAGCTGTTAATAGCAACAATAATAACTGCAATATCATCAAAGTTACAAGGACTACCAACAGGGTGCAGCACTATTTTTTTTTTTTTTTTTTTATTTATGACAACAGCTAATTTCCAACCAAAAAGGACGTGAATGAGCCATGCAAATACTTTTGAAGTGTTAAACGGAGCAAAGCCCGGGGGTACAGCTAGTATAGAATATACGTCAAACATTTTTATATTTAATACTGAGCAATAATATAATGTAACTTATTTGTCATTTTATTAAATTGTTACTAGGCCTTACAAAATAAAAGTATGAGTAAAAAAATCTCGAGCTACAAGAAACTCTTATAACTGAACGTAATAAAGAGTGATTTTATACAACGTTTAATGAACAACAAACCTAACACAGACGTTGATTTTAAGAAATTATTGCAGTTCCTCTGTTTTTATTTTCCATGATTTGGTTTTGCCTCTTACTTTACCTGGTTGCACTGTCTCATCATCGCTCCATTAGCTGGCTTAGCTTCCGCCAACTTTTCCATAAATATTAAAACAATTTACAAATAAAATCAATTTTACAAAATTGGATGACTATGTATACACAATAGTCTACACAAGTTTAACGACTTGTAACAGTGTTTTCTTAGGTAATTTCCTCTAATAGATATTACAATTTTAAAAGAATTTTTGTTTAGGGAGGTTGATTTGTGTCCATTTCTAGCAATAATTGGCTTTTAGTTCAGCGTTGAAATATGTTTCTGCTGTACTGTCACAAATAGTTTGAATATAATTTGATCAGGCGGTAGCCTACATACTACATGTTAAGGTAAGGGAAACACCTAACATATATGTTTGTGTAGGGCCGCAGATGTGTGCTGAAGGACTGTTGTATGATAGAGGACAACACCATCCTAGGACCAGAGACTGTAGTTCCTCCGTTCACACGCTATGGTGGGTCACCGGGACTGGTGGTGGGGGAACTACCGGAGTGTACTCAAGACTTGATGATCGACTACACCCGCAGCTACTACGACCACTTTGTACCTCATTGAATATCTTTCTAATTTAAAAAAAAGATCATATTTATAATTTATTCACTTTTGTACCATATACAAATATAAGCTTTATTAAGTTAAACGTTTTGGATCTTGTTCATTTCGTTAACCTCTGAATTTCTATTAGGTGTTTAAATTTTCCCCCCTTTTACCTGCTAGTCATGTTTAAAACTATTTCAAGTTTGAAGGGTTGTTAGTGCAGTAGACTGATCAAACGAAGACATTGTTGAGGCAGCATTAGGTTCGAATCTGTAAGGTCTGGTGTGCAATCATGAGTTTACCTGTCTGTTGTAAGTCACCGCTTAATTAAACAGTAACCGGCTCGTGTGGTCCCTTATTGAAATCCTTACTGTGTGTGTAGGCAAAAAACTTCTTTAGTGTAGATTTTCCGTTTATTAGGGAGAAAAATAAAATAAAATGGTAGAAATAAATCACTGAATAATCCCGGGTAATCAAAGGATTACATAATATTGTTTACTTACAAATACTGTACTGCAAATAATAACACGATCTAAGGTAAAGACCTTGCCCGTTTTGGCACCTTATTTGAGAACGGGAGCTTTGCATGACCTTCGCTCTATATATAGAACCTCTCATTGTAAAACCTGTATGCACTTCTCGTATGAGTCAACTAGCAATGTAATCAGACTTTTGGAAACTGTGTTGCTGAAGTGACTACAGTGCAAGTACTTGATTTCTAAGTTTTATACTTAGGGACAAATCGGCATAACTATGACCTTAATCAGATTATACCTTCTTATTTCATTTTGATGATATTTTTGGTACTTTGTTCATTAGTTGTCTTTTCTGTTGAAAAAATAAAATAAACATTTTAGCTCAAATATTTTCTTCACTGGAAAATGGTTGGTAAAATTGTTACTTAATAGGCTACTATCTACTTTTATAACTTTAAATTTTCCTCTAGAGAAAAACATACAATAGACACAATCAAGATTTACAAAACATGATGGTTCGCCCAGGCATCTTTCGGCTTAATTTCATGAGAAAATTTGCAGACTCAACAACATATTTCTAATATTTAAATATGTAAATAATATTAATATTTAAACATACTGAATTGACTTCTTTTAAGTTGAATATTACAAGTACACATTTTGATGGGGCTTTTGGCTTCTCCGAAACCTGATTTTTAAAACATAGGTCTTAATATAAGAACATGAAAACTGGTCATAGCCTCCTCTTCAAAGGGTGATGAACTCAGCCATTGCATACATATTGAGAGATTTTATGATACTTTCTCAAAAGGTATTTAGGTTAGGTTAAACATTTTAATAGAGGCTGGGGCTTGAAATAGTCTGCAAGTGGTGCCATAAGCCCATGCCCAATTTCCACTTGAAGCCCTACAAATATATTGGTAAAAAATAGCTGTAGCCAATTATTGTAAACAACAGTATAATACCAATGCTAAGTTGGACAACAATTATTAATGCAACAAGACAGAGACAAGTATGGGACAAAAAACAAGAAGAGTTTCAGCTGATTATTATTTTCTCCCACTATCATAGTATGGAGAAAGTATAGCTTTCATAAAAATTGAGTTTTGAGTGGATATATCCGTTTTAACAGAATACATATATACGTTAAAACAGAATACAGTAATTGATAATACAAACAAATAATCACACCTGATTTCTGATTTTAGAAGGTAACTAGCAGAGTACCCGTCCTTCGAACGGGGTTGGCATATAAGTTTAAAATGCTTTACTTTTATACTTTTCTTTGAAATGGCGACCATAAAAAGTTGGTATTTTAAGCAAAGTATGGAGTAATGAAGATACTTTAATACTTGAATACTTTTTTATGAAATGGCGACCATACATAGTAGGTATTTTAAGCCAAGTAGATGAGTGGCGCGATCTTGTAGTCTTGTTAGTGACTAAGGCCGACATATTCCTCAGACACAGCTGTTAATTAATAGCCCATACAGCTAATGGCAACTAAGGGACCTACAGTTTATAGTGGGATCCGAACCCCATTTTTCCTTGGTATATACGAATTGGTCTAATTATCAGGATAGTACTACGGATTTTCGTAGTACTCACCCGTGCGGACGTTAATCCACACAAGGTAGTATCGCATCCACAATGCATGCCTATAATAATTTATTGCAGTTATACTCAAGCTTTGCGTTTGCAATGGGGGAGGACAAAGTTTGATAATATTTGCTTCTTTAAATTGACGGTATACTATGGTATTACACATCTACCATAGCCATAATGTTCTACCACTTTGCCTAAACAATAAAGAAAAATAAATCATTAAAAATTCGCAAAAAATCACGAATTATTCATGACATTAAAAACATAAACAAAACAATCCTATTTTGACAGTTCTCATTGCGTATCACAGTTTTTTGTTGCTGCTTAGTTCAAATTAGCTTTTTACAAAATGCAAAAAAAATTATAGTGCTGCACCCTGTTGGTAAATCTTATAACTTTTTAATGCATTTTTATATCATAGAACCAAAGTATTTTAGTTGAAACAGCTGACTAAATTCTTAAATTCCCTTTAAATATGAATACTCATAAGGTTAACATGGGGAACCAGAACACTACAGAGCCACTGGGGCGGAGCCCGAAAGGATTTTTGAGATAAGAATATGCCTGCATGTTAATCGAGAATGTGAGCTATTATCATGCCAAATTTCAGCCCAATCTGTCAAGTGGTTTATGCGTGATTGAACTTCAAACAAACACAAACTTTCACATTTATAATAATTAGTAAGAAGATAAATTGAAAGAATATCATACAAATAAGTACAGCTGAGTTATTTTTAACATTAGGTATATGGGAAGTTCCCTTTAGAAAGGAATTACGAACTTAAGGGGCAATTTATGAAATACTGGATAGTTTCGCGCAAGGTTTCTCATGACAAACATTTTAAGTATATTTCTTATGGGGGTATGACTTGTAGTTTTCTCAAAAGTGCATGGGTACTTTGGGACTTATATATAGATAAACTGCCCAAGTTTTCAAATTTTAACCCAAAGTAACCATTAACCAATGTATAAATCTGTTAGATAAACAATTGATTTTGTCTAGTCTAAAATTATTTGTAAAATTATTATTGCTCTATTATAAATTATTCAATCCCTAATTATTTATAAATTATTCTCGTACAAAAACAGATTGAAGTACAGTGTAATAGAGGATCACATATTGTATTATTAGTAGATAATTTTATTTCAGATTACTCAAATGAAGAAAGACTGTGGATGGATCTTCAGACCTGATGATGTGCTCCATGAAACAGCTGTAGTCATAACGAACTACAAGGGATTTGGACAGTAAACCACTATAGTTAAAGACTGTAGGAAAATTTACTTTAAAAAACCATATACAATATAGCAAAACTTTATAAAATTCAACTGGATACCATATTTAGGTATCGAGCTTTGAACAGATTTTGCATCAACTTTGCAATAATCTCATACCCTAGAATTTTGCACTAAAATTCTTGTGATTTCTTTAGCTTTAGTCATGTTTATGGACATAAATAAGCAATAAATTAACTTTAACAAGTGTCTTTCCCAATTACTGAATCCTAGAGTCGACGAACTGAAGTATAAGAGGATGAGGTGACGGTGGGTTAAAAACACCGCCTTGGCGCAAGTTCAAAAACGCCGCGAAGACTAAAATTAGTTCCTCAGTCGTGCGTCGGGCAGCGGCCGAACAGCGCCTTCCACGATATGCAGGTAATGGGCGGGAGGGGGTAAATTAGGTAGTCTTAGTCATTTATAACCTCAATATACCTGTGAAACCAACATTGGCATAACTACGTTGTAGGCCTGATACGCCCGAAGTATACATATTTGTGGTTATATCATTATGATTTACTGTCATTTACCAATTTTTCAAACTTATTTATTGAACTGTTTAAGTTGGCACTTACAATAAACTGAAATCTGGAAAGTATCTATCCGTCAAAAGAGTAGCCTAATTGAAGTTGTATGAATTTTTCTCTGAATTAATTAGTAGTAGCAAATCATGTACCGACATTATAATTTACATTCGTTTTGACATTTTACATTCAGAACGATACGGTTCGGTTATAAAATTAAATAATTAATTATTTTCTTCGGAAAAAATCAATTTTTTTTAAACTGATTTAACTGTTACCATGATCTATCTAACACTGTTATCTATTTTTAACTATTACCTACTACTCCTACCTTCACCTATATTTTACTCACGAGACCAATAAGAAACAAGGTGTGGAACCTAATAATAATGTTGATAAATTGTAAATGATCATGGTAAGGTTTAATTATTTCCCTCTTACAAATGAACCTTATTTATATGTTTAAAAACAACGTTACAACTTGCGGAAGCAGTGATATTCTAGTCCAGCCAATCTCAGCACGGTTGGTGCCTCGTTATAAGGGGCCTACATTAAATTAGTTTTGGCACACGACTCCTCTTGGGTATAATGAATTCCATTGCAAACTGCGGGGGCGTGTAATAGTCTGTAACGCCCGATCTCTTCTATTCTGGACGATAAATTTATTGACTGTAAATTTACGAACACATAATGATAGATGATTGATCATATCTCTCTGGGTGCACGCGCAGACACCCATAGTTATATATGTGTCGTATAGTAACATGAGATTAATATTTTAGCTTCCTTTTTTGGCAAATATTACGTGTTGATTTGTATTATTTTGGTCGCCATTTCATAAGGAAGTATTAAAGTATGATAACTATTAATTTCACGTACTATGTTTCTTTAACTAAAAATCAAAACTATACAGCCTAACGCATACACTTTCATTTACCCAGCAGCGCTTTCAAAAGTTTGAGGACGCCAAATATAAATAAAATCAAAGTTCACATTTTTTGTAACAGGATTGAGAAGTCTATAACACTAGTATCTGAAGTCAATGGTGTAATGTAACGCTATATTATACAATTAAAGATGTGAATATTGTTTTATAATCAATGGCTGAAGACAATGCAACCCTCTTTAACTTTGACAGATGTGAGATGAATTTCCAGTTATCTTAAAACAGCTGTCCATTTCCATTATTGCCATTGCCATAATGCCGCCATTGCCAATGACTTGTTGTTGAGTTTGTTAATTTGAATTTGAACTGTTTTGAATTTGGTTAGTAAACTTAACTTGAATCTCCTCTACTTTTCCCCCGAAAATCCTAATTCTATTAGTTATTATACACAATAGTGATTAAGCGATTGCTTATTTTTTAATCAGAAACTAAACCATGTTGATGCTTATCAATATGTTTGTAGTTATTTATAGTTCTGTGTTAATTTTTATTGTTGTCTAGGAGAAAGCAAAGTTATTTATAATTTTTTAATATGGACTTTTTACTCCCTCTAAGTTAGTTAATCATTACCATAGTAATTAGTTTAAAGCATTACACCTATGTTAAATTTGGAAAAAGGGTTGTTAAAAGCTGGAAAGAGAAATATCAGGCTAGCTATAGAATAACTTGGGGGTTTTGAGGTTAAACGAATATCTTCATTATCATGTCATGTTTGCTATTTTTTAACCTTTGCAAGCCACCGAATATCTTCATTATCATGTCATGTTTGCTATTTTTTAACCTTTGCAAGCCACCGGGCCACCAAACTTAACATTTAAACTAGGGCCTATTATTTATCGATTAATGTATATGATTCTTATTTTGTTTTTACATTATTATACCGTATACTAATTACCCTTTTAAAATTATTTTTATTTATTAAGATCTTTATTGATTTAAAAGATTTCATGTAGGCCTACAATTTAATTGTTTAACCCTTTTGATGATGGAATTTTTTGTCCGAAAAAAGGCTAGAGTTATGTTATTTATTTAACTTATTTTGTACCAAATGTGCTAGGCTTGCCAGGGGGGGGCAAAGTCTAATAGTGTGTGAGAAAAATGGGTAAATACCCTCGCCGCAGCAAACCTGCAGACTTAGCGAATTTCTATTTACCTGGCTGGATTTCTACTAAAATATTACCTGAAAATTAATTTTAATGAGTACCTAGGTTTGCTGCTACAGGGAAGGTATTGAGGTGTGTTTTTTATTGAAATATGTTGATAAACTTAGCTTAGTATGAAATAAACAAAATTGCCAAATTTGATCAAAATTTAAACTACAACAGTTTATCTTCTCCATAAGAATAACGTGTGAATTTTAAATTTAAAGATTTTTTAATTATCTCCGTAACCGTTAGGCATAAAATAACGCTTCAGGATACAAAATTATCTCTTTTTTTAAGCTCTACAAAATGGTCTCAGAAGAAATTGTGAAATTTTATTTTTTTAGAGTCAAAAATGAGAAAGACTCATTTTTACCGCTTAAAAACCCCATAAGTCCCCATTCCCATAGTTCAATCATGCTGTTTTGTGAACTCGTTCGAATAAACAAAGGTTTACACGTTTGTACCAAATTTCATCAAAATCGCATCATTTTTGCTCTAGTTATCTTGCTAACGGACACACACACACACATATATATATATATTATATATATTTATGAATTTGAACGGAAAAAGTAAATCGGTAGCCCGGGTTAAGGTCTTACCATGAGACCTACGGTAATAGCTAATTCCCCATGTGGGAAATTTGCTAAAATAAAATTTTTCATCTCAAAAGTGCTATGGAATTATATATCAGGCCTCGATCCTATGAGGAATCGAAAGAAACTGTCGCTGTCAAAACAACAACAGAGTCAAACCGATATGCCTATTTGACTCACACAATCGAAAGTCTCGCTGGTACAATAGGTATATCGTCGCTTAGCACTTTTCAGATGAAACATGAACAACGGGATTTCGTTCCATAGCACTTTTCAGGAAAAAGACGCACAAATGATATATCGTCGCATAGCACTGAAAGGGTTTTAATTATGTGTTAACTCTTCAGAAATGTTTAATCCTGAACTCATAACTCATGAATAAACAGCTCCAAAATGCCAAAAAGTGAGCCAATTGATTTAAAATATGATAAGTACATTGTACTCTTAAGTTTCAGTTCATAATTTCCAGTTTATATTTTGTTAAATTGTGTACAAAATTCTTCAAGAAGTAGGCTAAACTCAACTTAGTTTGAACTGTGGCTAGAGCCATTGACTTTACATAGAAGTTAGAGCCATCAATTTTACAACCTTGAAAAATGATTTAGCAAATTTTCAAATTAACAACACAATTATTTAATCATGTCAATCGGCTAAAATGCTGTTTACCGCCGATACTATTGTTACGGCCGTTGAGCATATTTGACATCTTCAGATACATGCAGACCTTGGCATAGGCAGCGTGGTCGAAGTGTTTTAAAAGCCTGTCACAGTCACACCCTTGTCACTTGATCCTCTCTTAAATTTGAAATTCACTTATCGTTTTCTACTTCCCTAAAGTATTGAAATTACTTTAAGTATTTTTTATTATTTAAGTATTAAATTTAACTAGTGAAATACTTCTAAAAATTTGCTATTGTCGTTTTCTAGAACGTGAAGGAAGAGCGATGGCGACCCTTACCCACTGCATCGCCATCATCTCGGCTGCGAGCAGCACGCACGATGCCTCCATGGCTAGTGAGTATTTTTCCAACTAATAATGTAAAAAATTGAATTGTATATTATTTGATTTCAATATAAATATAGTGAACAGCAACTCTTATATAGGTAACTATACAACAAAAGATGTGTTTTGTTGCTTAGTCAACGATTACTTACCCCTTGCATTATAATTGCTTAACCATTTGCCCACTATACTGCCGGTATAGTATCCTAGAAATTGATATGATATAGAACACTGAATAGTCAAAATTGGATAAAAGATGCGCAGCAAAAAGTTCAAGGACCTCTATTTCCACCAAAAGGGGAGCGAGCTGGCGTAGTGGTTAGAGCGCGGGACTTCAGTCCCTGAGGTCCCGGGTTCGATCCCCGCCAAGTCACCAATGGATTTTATCTAAGTGATAATGCCGCAACTCCTAGGTCTAGCCTGAAGTAATGTGAAAAACAAACCCAGGCTCGTGCCTAGCGTCCTAGGTAAAAAAAGGCCACCAAATAAAAAATGGAAGTATTTTTCAATTTTTTTTAGGTTCCAGGTACCTTTAGTATGAAAATTTCAATAGTTAATTGATTAACCGTGATTTCAGACTGCCATAAGAAAGAGGTTATATCTGCTCCCTTTTCCTGCTGATGAATAGCTTTGTAAAGATCTGTTCTTTAGCACTTACAGCATTAGGATTTAACATTTTTTTACACCATAAAGCTCTGTGTAAAGTAGACAACTGAACATAAAGGTGTCAAGGCTAAGGTACCCAATAGGCAAGATTCCAACAGACAGTAGACGGTAGCAAGTTTTCGCTACATAGTTACATGGTTATGGAGATGTACAAGACAAGTCTAGTCTTGTTGGCTGAGCTCCAGACAAGTGTATATTTAGGTTCAACACAGCAGTCGTGTCTCCATCCACAAACCTGTCTTTTCTTTCCAAACATCCGTAAATTACCAGAAAAACACAAACCTTCTGTAATTATGGTAGAGATGATTTATAAATTTACAGTTGGTTTTGTACCCCTGGGTTTTTATTGTTATATCTAGGACCACATCATTATTCTATTATTTTTCAGGTAATTTTAAACATTTCATTGTTTCATTGTTGTATTGGTCATATGGTCAATGGTCCTGGAACCGCAATTACATTGCTCAAATTTCTTAATATTTTGGAATGAAAACTCTCAAAATATAAAAACTTGTTGTTTAAATATTATAGCATTGTGATTTAAAAACGGAATAATTAAAAACAAGGTTTTTGTTCAAAGAAAGCAACAAATAATTTGTTTTTAATTGTTTGAAGATTTAACTAAAACAAGAATGGGGTGCAGTAAGCTAATTAATTTGACTCAAATTCACTGAAAAGAGAGCAGCATGTGACAGACCAGTTTTATATATCCTGAGTTGAAAACTAATCGTAACACAAAACACAGCTCATGACAAAGTTCAGGCTTTCGCGGCACAAACCTATGTAAGAAGATCATTAAACAAAGACTGTGATTGTTTGAGTCTTGAGCCTTGATTTGTCTTTTACATTCGACTTGTTATTTGAGCTGATCTGGGAGGTATTTGTAGCTACATTAAATGGTACAATTCTCAGATTATATAAGTGAGGAAAGAAATTTTATTAACGTAAAAAAACAATTAACCTTCATAAAAGACGGTAAAAAACACCTTTTTTATGTCTAACAAATTTTCACCTAATTGCTATCACTAAACATTTTAGGATCTAAATATTAGGTTTGATTACCTTCTGCCTTTTATGTTATGTTATGTTTTTAACTATAAAACTTAAAAATATTAACTCTATACCTACCTAGTTTGTAAAGATCTTTGTGTATGATCTACAAAATAGTAGGTTGGAAAGGTTGTTTTAAAAAAAACATTAGTTTACTAAGTGCCAGTCTTGTAGCCTGGATCATTTATCAAAAGCCCAATGTTCAAGTACGACTTTGGTCCAGTTTCGAACCTTTGAAAAGATTTTGACTTAGGATCGAACTGGCATTGGCAACCTTTTGATTACTAGCTGAGAAAATAACCACTTAGCTTCCCAGCTATAATTGATATCCCTAAAGTTGTAAGTAACCTTAATTGAATTTAAGGGGGACGCAATATCTACATATTTCTTTTAGCGATATCCGTTATGTATGTTTCAGCAAGCACGAACTACGGCTGCGCCCCCGCCTCCCCCTCCCCCTGTTGTACCTCCGCCACCAGACCCTGACTATGAAGTCATTGAGTTCTCCGCACAGCAAGCGTACTCCAACACACCCCCGCCTCGACCAACTCCGCCAGGTATGGTCAACTAACTTCAGGCTGTTTCATTGCCTAGTTTTATACGTGATACTGATTTCCAAAAATTCTTTATCAGACTGATTCTCTTCCATGTACAAGATATAGTCATGTATGTATAACTTCAAAATGAAATATACAGTCTAAACCCACCAACCAAAATAAAGGGGGTGATGCCATTTTGGATAACCTATTTCTTCACTTAATCAATCACTAAAAAGATGTACAATGATAATTCTTGACGCTATATTAAAAATCTTCACAGCGGTTGCCAAATGGGTGCACCATTGAAGACAGTTGCCGTTACCTGGCCAATTTTCAAATAATTTTGAATTATCTATTTTTGATTATTAACCCGAGCTTCGGTTTAACAGGATGCGATTGAAAGTAGTTTTAATTGTAACTAAACTAACTTGTCTTTCACATGAGCCCTGCAGTTTAGACCCAGCATACTTCTAAGTTTGACATGCAGTTTAACAATTTAATTTCAGATATACCATTGAACAAATTATAACCACTTCAGCTACGCTATGGTATCAAAGAGATCAAGAAATCGTGAACCATAAAATTGGTACATGACAACAGATTCAAATTTTAAATTGTAAAATTTAATTGTTTAGGTAAACCAAGAGCAGATAACCAGAGATGTGACCTTTGTGGATCATCGGCTCCGGCCGTCCGTTGTGAGAAATGCTCTCAACAGAACTTCTGCCATTCCTGCGACGAGATGTATCACCGCCACCCCAAGAGACAGACACACGTTCGCAAGGTGATATATCTGAGTGGCTGTGGATACAAGCATGGAGTTAAGGATATTGAAGTATTCATCTCATCTACCGTATATAGATCAGCTGTGGCCAGCATTTTAGACATTAGACAATAAGAATTAAATATAGACTGTCAGCCCTGCTGCGGTTACCAGGTGCTGGCGTACGCGCAACGTAACTACACGGTGCTCCCAGCGGTGTATGCCAGAACCTATGGTAACCATGGTAACTGCAGCACAGCTGACCTATATTTAATTCTTTTTGTCTATGATTTTATTAAAAAGACATGAAATGAGCCATTCTCAGACAGACAAAATTTGATTTTCCCCCTAAGTATTTTATACAATGGTAGTAGATGTGACATAAAATATGCTACAGTATCAGCAAGTCATCATTATCAGTTTTACTTGGAATAATAGCTGGTGTATTTGAAAGAAAACAGTATAGTTGGCACCAAATCACGCTGCCAGTAGCTCAGTTAAACTGTGTCCTTTTATTCTAAAACTGGTAAATGTTTAACTCTCTATTAGTCAAAGGTAATTCCTAATATTACCTTACCTGTGATGGTGAACTGATGTAGTTGAAGTAAAAAGTAGTAGTAGGAAATTAATGGGGAAAGTTTGATACATTGACAATGTTTTATTTCTTAGGAAGCTCTTTGAAGATAATTTTGATATATTGAGAATTTTTTGTCTATTTCAAGCCCCTGGACAGTGGACGCCACTCAACTCTACGCCCCCCACTGCCCCCTAAAGGAGAGAACAGCTCCGCCCCAGTCCCTCCCCCCCGTCGCCACAAACGCTCCGGTCGCACCACTCCAGTTCCCATGGAACAGGTGAGTCATAGCAACAGATGATTTTCGTTGTTTACTGGTTTGATGTACACCCTTTAGCACAACAGGTGTTCATTAGAATTTGCATTTTTTATTCATTGTATTAGTTTTTAGAGAAAAGATCACTTTTGACTTTTGACCTAGGATTCAGAAAGAAAAAATGGGTACGCAAATAAATCCAAGGCAAGACTTCCAGGCGGTTAACAGTCTAAAAAATGATCACTAAAAGCCCCCTTGTAGAGATGCAAGTTAATGTGGTTTCCCAGCAACACAACGGCAACGTTTTTCGCCCACCTATAACAGGTTGCCGAATCCTTTTATTTCAGCAACATTGCTAAAAGATCGTTGCCAAATGTCCCTTATAGAGAATCCGTTATCAAAAGGGCGTTGTGTCCCAGCGATAATTTTTTAAAGTGTTAGTTGTTACTAAACATTTACTTGCAAACTGATCATCACTCAACCAAACACCAAACTGTGTTCAAATTAACTGTGTTGTGGTCTTTTTTGGGCTGTCAACTACATGGATAGGAAGTCTTTTCCTTGGTAAGTTAGTTGTTTATGCACTTCTTCTTCCTTATTCTTCATATTCTTCAAAACAAAATGCGTTAAAGGACTTTTCATAGGAAAATTTAACAAAGACACTAGAGAGAGAGAGAGAGAGAGAAAGAGAGTTATCTAAAAACTTTGCTCCTAACTAAAAAGGTTGTGAAAATGAGTACCCTGGCCTATAGTAATTTATTGACTGGGCCAACATTTTTTTAATTACTATTTTATGAATCAGTTGTACTTCCGTACCTCCATAGTATCTTTTTTGCTGTTTTTGAAATTTTGATTTTTAATGGGGATTTCTCCATAAAATAACAGAAAAATTGGATTTTCTCTATAAGGGCCCAAACAGTTTTGATGAAAATTTAGTATGTTGTAGTGCTTCCTCCTGCGGCTCAAAAATTATTGTAACTTGTGTTATTTTCCCATAAACCCCCATAAATAACAAAAAATAACAATAAATTGGATTTTGTAAAAAAGCCAGTTTGATAAAAATGAATGTGTTATGGTCCTTATAATTCTAAACAAAATAGAGCAATCCCCCATTTCTGAAACAATTATATGGTTCAAAAGTTATTGCAACTTTTGTGATTTTCCCTAGTTACTTCCACCGCTTACCCATGATAAAGGTTGTTGACAATCTAATGGGAGAAAGTATGTGTCAGATTGCTTGATACCGTTTATTTGAGACTATGTTTATATGAACACCTGTTGATGCATCATCATCAATGTTTTGAAGATTTACCAATTCATTTGTCCTCCTAAAGAACCATGTAATAAGTTCATATTCAACCTTTGTCAAGTCACTTTACTGAATCACATTTCATCCACAATTCTTACAGATGGTGTAAGCACATGTATTTAAACATTTAGCTTATTTAACAGCTTTTGAGGTGGATAATCTGGCAAGTACAAGTCACAGTTTGGTTTTGCATGACGATCACAAAATAGTTTTTTCCGAATAACTGTAATAGCTGTTACTGGTACATAGCTTTGTGTCATACTTTTTGTGTGAAATTGATTTTCCCTAAAACTTTTGCCCTTTCAACTAGTTCTTCTTCTTTCGTGGAAAGCAGTTTGACAATCTTTTTCTTAGGTCTTTTTTTCATATTGACTTTACTTGTTAACATTTCCTTTTAATCTTTTACGCACTGTAGTTTCTAAACTGTTTATTTCACTCTTAGGGTTTTATCACTGTTTGTTGTGTTACTTACATCAGTAATATGTTTTTATCAGTAATAGTAAAACTATGTTAGATTATTATTACCTAGTTACTTTGCAGACATCTACCTTACGTAATGCAATGTTTTAGATCATCCGTTACAGTAGTCCCCCTCTTAACCGACCCTAATGGGACCGGACCTAGCTCGGATAACTCAAAAGGTCAGTTGAAAACATCCCTAAAAACATAACAAAATGAAGTGCTATTCATTTGGAATTGTATAATCATTATTTTGAAGTCGTACTTACATTATTTATAAAATAAACTACACTTATCTCTTTTTTCTTATTGATAGAAGAGTCGCAAATAAAAATGAACAAAAACATGGTTCAGTCAAATACTTTCACTGGAATAAGTTATAGTTGTAGGCAAGAGTCAATAATAATTCTTATTTTAATAACTTTGGTAGGCTACTTACTCTAGGGATAAGATAATTCCAGATTATATTACAAAAATAGCTGTTTTCATAAACATAATGGTTTGTTGTGATAAATACAAAATAACTTATTCTTAGTGACATCCTATGGAGATAAGCGTATGGTTCCCATCTTCAAGCGTGGGAGCAGAATGTCGAGATTCCTAGAACGTGATGGTTAAACCGAACTTTTCTCAAAGCAAGGTCGGTTTAAACAAACTGTAACATTTGACGATCGAGGGGGGATTATCCGATTATCGGTTAATGCGAAGTCGGTTAAGAGGGGGTCTTCTGTATGGATAATATTTGTTTTTGTTGAACATTTCTTAAACTAAACCAAACTTTGGCAACACTATACTTTTATTATTTTACTTTATATTTGTTTTCCAAACTGTGTTAAAGAAAAAACTTCAAACACTTATTTTCCCTTGAAAGATGAAGCTTTTGGTTGTTATTTAGTTCCAAGAACTTTACTTATACTTAATAGGTACTTTAATACTTTTTAGTGAAATGGCGACCATAAAAAGTAGGTATTTTAAGCCAAGTATGAATTGAGATGAGTGTAGGATGAGTGGCGCGATCTTGTAGTCTTGTGACTAAGGCTGACATATTCCTTAGACACAACTGTTAATTAATAGCCCATACAGCTAATGGCAACTAAGGGACCTACAGTTTATAGTGGAGTCCGAACCACATTTTTGCCTTTGGTATATACAAATTGGTCTAATTATCAGGATAGTACTGCTGATAGTCATAGTACTCACCCGTGCGGATGTTAATCCACACCAGGTTAATTTAATCTTTGTTAATGATTGAGTACATTATTGGGAAATAACTAATTTTCTCTTAATTAATTTGTTACTGTGCTACTTTTGCACATCTCTAACTGACATGCAGGAAAAAATGAATTGTTACCGTCATATTTATGGTGGGAAGATCAAACTCATTGTTTTGAAACTCACTAAGGAAATAAATAACTTTGTTCTCAAAGTGTTAACCGTTGGATGTTACAGACGCAGCCTACCAGGCCGGGGGTGAGTGCAGGCGTTGTTGGAAGCCTGAAGCGGATGATGGGAGGTCGACCGTTACCAGCGCCTCCATGTAAGCCTAACGGTTTACTATATTATAGTCAGATTCTTTCAACTTTGTGACTGGAAGAGTGTTTCAGTCAAAAGGCTGGAAGGATTCAACATACAATGTTGTACCTAGTTTACATTGCAAGTTTGTTGTAGGACTGCTGTTCATGTAGCTGACTGCTCGCTCATGTTACTTCTGTTGTAGTGACGAGAGATCCGCGGTTGTCTGCTTCAACTTCGCCACTCACTTTCGCAGAACTCTCTGACCACCAGGTAATTAAATTTGAAATAACATTTGTGAAAAAATTGCGATTAAAGCTTTATGTGTCCAATGTTGAGCTAGAAATCTTTTGGATTAGAAAATCGTGTATAGATATTGTCTAGCGTTTTTGATCAGTTGAAGAGGCCTTAATCACTGTTCTGAATCAATGGTTTCAAATAAAGAATCAGCATTTTTAGTGAGTAACAAAGCTATACATGTCACACAACTATTCTATTCTAAACCTATTTTTTTCCTAATCTGGTTGTTTGTTGCAGCCTCCTAGTAGAGACAGTGGCTACCTAGACTGGGAGATGGACAGCAGACACAGATCTGGTAGTCTAACGGCCCTCAACGCTCCCGGCTTCACACCACTCATGCATGTACGTAACTTGTGTAGATATAAATACTGAGTCTATACAAATCAAAGAGAAATCATTCTGAAACTATCATTTTAAGAAGAACTATTGGAAATGTGTGCAGATCTGAATAACGGAATTTTATAAAATTATAGAGTTAAAAGTGCTTGTGTTTCTTTGTTGTAAAGACAAAATTAAGAGTGTTGATTTACACTTCACTAATAAAAATCTACATTTTTGAGTTATATTAGGGATACACAGTTTCTTTGAGTTCTCTTCATAGTATTGAATTATTAATTAATGTTGTCAACTCTTGTTCGATAAGTTAAGTTGAAAGTCATTGGGAACATATTAAATTGTAGTAAACTTCATGGCGTCCCTGTCTTAAATAATTGATAATTGATAGTTGATCATTGACATTTTTACGTATTAGACTGTAATATTATGGGGCATATGTCCTCCAAGACTTAACCTATTAGAACCTAATAAAACTTAACTTATATGTTGATGTTACAGGCGCAGTCCATGGCCACGCTCAACTGTCCTAGTTGTCACCATCATGGGCTGGTCTGGGATTGGAACATGGGTAACGCAGGTCCACCCTGGGGAGGAGGGATACACACTAACACCTGGCATGGGTCTGCCATGCTGCCTCCTTACAGGCCCGTGGATGAGATGGCACGACGGGGCAGTCTTAGGGCTCCTCCCCGTCGAAGCCGACGCGACCTCACCACTGACGACGAGGACGATCGTCGCAGGAACGCATCACCAGTCCGGTCCAGACGAGGAGTTAGTGACGACTCGGACGACGAAGTGATGTCTCACCGCAGCAGCAGAAGACACAGAAGACGAACATCCCCTGTGTCAAGAAATGTTTCACCAGCCTTGTCGAGAAGAAGCTCGAGGAAAAAGAGTTCGGTGGGTGTTGAAGAACTGATTGCTAGAAGAGTGAAGCAAAACGAAGAAGAAGCTAGGAGACGATACGATGATGAAACAACGTCCAACAGAGGTGGAAGGAGGTTTGATGACGAGTTGAGTAACAGAGGAAGAATGTACGATGACGATACAATATCTAACAGAGGAGGAAGAAGGTACGATGATGACAGAATGTCGGTGAAAAGTGGGAAAATGATCGATGAGATGTCTAACCGTGGTAGAAAGAATGATTTTGATGATTCAATGTCCAACAGAAGCCAGAGACTGGACGATGACGTGATTTCAAACAGAAGTCGACGATACGACGATGAGGTGTCTAACCGAGGAGGTAGACGAAGGCGACGAAATTCTCAGTCATCAGGTTTGCCAAGAAGATATCCGAGGAATACAAGCAGTGAAGACTCTGGGGACGAGATGTCTGACGGGATGAAAAATAACTCATCTGTAGCAAAGAAGAAAGAAATGGGCACTGACACCATTGAAGTGAAAGAAGACGATGTCAATATACCTAGTGATGTAGACAAACCCCTCGGTCCGATCCCGGACCAAGAGTGGGAATGTGATCATTGCACTTTTGTAAACCCTGCGGGAACCAGAGTGTGCACTGTTTGCTGCAAAACCACCAACAATCCTAAGGTAAAACCTATTAAACCTCCGCTCAAACAACAAGCGATTAGTCAGAGACCTCCAGAACAAAAGGTGAACCGTCCTTTACGTCAAGATTCGAGCACATCGCCTTTAAAGGAAAACACTACTCAGTTACCAGTTAGTACGCGGAAAGAAATGGTCAAAGGAACGAGATCACCTCCCCCACCGAGACAGCAGGCAAGCTCCGAGGGCGACAAGACTGATGCTGATCTGGCAGAGAGAACCAAGAGGCAGTTGAATGTGTCTATGGAACCTGCTGATAAGAAGAAAGGTAAACGGCGGAGAACCATTTCGTTTTGGCTGGGGACAAAGCTTTACTCCTGACTGTTCTGTGATCTACGTCTTTTATATTCAATAAACATTTATTTGCTAAACTGTTTTATTTATTTATGACGATGCCTTAATCCAACAATTTGTTTTTGTAATTGTGGTATTAATTATTAATTATGTTTTTATCAACTTATAGTAAGTGCATTTTCTTGAAATTTAAAAATACTACACCATACAGGTATTATCACAAGTTAATTTTTGAACTGGGCTTTTTAAATAAAAGGTTAAGGGGTAACAGAAAATTTTAACTCGATATTTAATTTAGAATTAAGGCATTGTCATTTATATATTTTTTATATATTTTTCAGAATTGATGCACACAGAAAAAAAGACTACACCATGTTTGGACAATCAATGTCTTAATTGCTAGTAAAAAGCTTAAGTTACAGCCAACAGTCTCTAAGTGTGCTTTTTGCGTGGAAAGTTGGTAGAAAAACCAAATAGAAGGAACAGAGTGATTTTCTTTCAAACCCAAATCACACTGTTAATAGAAGTAGACATAACATTCCTGTGCTGTAGAATTGAGCCTCTGATATTATAAGACAATTTTTTTAACCAGGTCAAACTTTAGTGTCAACTTATGGTTAATTATAGCGTCACTTATAAATTATAAACTATTATAGTCTAAGGAACCGAGAGAAAAATGTAAAAAAATTTTGACAGTAACACGTGTGAGTGGATCATTGTCCTATTGAATATGAAATCGGTTTCAGCATCCGAAATTCAATGGTAGTATGCAATGTCAGCCTCAATTATTTAGTGTTAGTTTGCGTAAAAATGGTCTTCAAGTTTTACAATTGTTACAAAATTAATTAACTATTGTCAAATTAATATAACTAAAAGTGCCTTTAGAAGTTTCAATATAAAAAAATACCAATAAATTTAATCACACAAAAATAAAATATAAAAAAAATTAACTGATGGATTGCAGCAATTAATTAATTAATGCATTATGATTGTAATTGTATATGGTCTGAACTTTGATATTGTTACTAGTTAATGTTTGCATGACGTTAAAACATTAATATTTTAAGGAAAGCCAAGTGGCTAGTTACCTTATACCTACATTTGTATGGTCAAAGTAAAGTGTTAAAGTATTAAGAGCTTTTTTTAAGAGGTGGAGTTCCAGGTGCTGATAGATATACAATAATAGGTCACAAAATATAACGTTGCTATTTATACTAAGGACTTTTTCAGAGAGAATGTTAAAAATGAGTTTTTAATTTTGTTCCTATTGAGATGTTTTTAATGGATACCTAGTACAAGTACAGACTCAGTTTCTTAATCTTAAAAAAACTGATTTTAATTACCTTTAATGCATAATTCAAATATATTATGTAAAAGAAAATTATCTTTTCTTCAATTATTTACCAGACTTAAACTGTAATCCTAACCATAATATGCAGGTTTTCTTCTGGTTTTTAAACTTTTACTACTGAAAATACCTTAATTCATTTGAACTTTTTCCAGAAAATGATGGGGCGGAAAACTCAACAACACTGAAGACTAAAATTTCAACTGGAACTTCACCTCCGCCTCAAAGTATTTCAACTCAAGTAAGTTAATTAATAAATATAACCATAGATAAAACATAGTCCCTTTGGCAAGACCACACACAACACTGAAGAAGCTTTTCCTTTTCACTTTGTATCTATTATACCAATGTTATCTACATATTTAAATTTGACGCTGTAACATTTCTTGATAAAATTGTAATAAAGGAATTGTCTATTGTCTATTGTCTATTAGTAGATTTCCCATCCTTATGGAACAGCTGAAGCCAATTTTATTGTTAGTTCTGTCTGGTTTTCTGTAGATGTCGTGTTTTGTTTACAATTTGTTTCTTGTTATTTCAGTAATTTAAAACCTCGTTTAACCAAATAAAACTATCTAATCATAAACAATAGCTTGTCCACTAGCTGTATAACCAAACAGTGAGACACAAATAATGAGAAACTAATCCTAAAATAATATAAACAAATTGTAAACAAAACACGACATCTACAGAAAACCGGACAGAACTAACAATAAAATTGGCTTCAGCTGTTCCATTAGGATGGGAAATCTACTAAGGGACTATGTTTTATCTATGATATAACCATAGACTAACCAACACAAGTAGACTTCTCATCCCATTGTAAATTTTGAAGCACGTTTTTCGTGTCTAGTTCATGTACGTGACACAAAGGCGCTAGTGTCGATGAAACTTTGTTTCCATTATTTTAGGGTTAATTTCTTGATTTGTGCTTTACTTTTTGGTTATATAGCTAGGGGACAAGTTATTGTTTATGATTAGATCGTATTATTTGGTTAAACGAGGTTTTAAATGGCTGTAATAACGGGAAACAAATTGTAAACAAAACACGACCTCTACATAAACCGTACATGAACTAACAATAAAATTGGCTTCAGCTGTTCCATTAGGATGGGAAATCTACTAAGGGGCTATGTTTTATCTATGATATAACTTAAATTTATAACTTTTTGAAACTGTAGCACTGTTTTGATTTGAGAGTCTATTCAAAATTTCTGATATTTTCACTTTGGTGAGTGAGACGCCCTCAAAGCTTTGATTAGTGCTGCAATCTAGCTTCAAGGAATGGTAACTATTTGTCTTCATTGCCAAGTATATGGTTTTGTTCATATATTGCCTACTATGGCTGACTGTCTAGTAAACTTTATTATCAACTAGCAAACCCGTTGTGGCTTCGCTCACAAAAATTTAAATTTAAAAGTTAAATGTTTCTGATAGGGCAACAATAAAAAAACATATTAGGCCTAAATCAATTTATAGATAATCACCTAATTTAGTTAAGCACGTTTGACTAACGAAGTTAAAACTACGGGAAAACTGCATTTACAACATTAACTGCCCTTCCACCAAGAGCCTCAGACTACTCACTCTGAAATCATCTACAAAATATGTTTTGCCCAGGATATGCTACTATCCCCGCTGTATCTTTTTTGAGTTCATGCTTAAAACTAATTTTTTAATAGTAGTCAGTTCTTCAAAAACCTTTTTCAAGTACTATGTGTCTTAAAATAACATTAAGTAATATAAAACTTTGCACAATGTTTTATTGTAGTTCTCAAATCCCTATTCAATAATTCAATAAAAGGTCCAAAACAGTATACAGGTCAACGGTATTTACAATGTTTTCACCAATTGCGTTTGTATGTGTATGAATACTTTACTTAATCCGCCAAATACTTGGACTCTGATTTTACAAACACATACTCATCATTCTGCAATTGCATGATTGTGGCATTGTCATTATCCTATATCTAGCTAGGGAATGGACAGGATTGTACTTATCAATATCTTCTGATCTCCTCTCTTGAACACCAATTATAAATCGTTATTAAGTGATAGGAGAAGGCAGGTGCCATCCATTTGAGTAATAGATTTAACTCGTTAGCAAATAATTGTTCCTTTGACATTGACATTATGAGCACATTAAATAATATAATGTTGTTAACCCTCCGAGTGTCCCTTGTTTTGGCCTTAATGTCTGCCTATTTTTAGCTCATTTGCAAGGTTTTATTAAAACGGATCTGAGAAGCTTAAAAACAATGTTAATTATACTGTTCTTTAAACCATTTTGTTTGGAAAATCATGGGCTTCAATATTATATATAAAACATAAGGAACATTTGTTTAAAAAAACTTTTTAGGTAAAAAAAATGTGTACTGGTGAAATGTGAAATGTGTACAATGATAAACGTAATAAAACACATCAGTCATCGGTCCGAGGATAACCAAGCTGTTTACAAATGCGCACGTCAGCTGTCTGCTACAATTACGATCGGCTCGGAGAACATACAGCGCTGAGACAGACCTCTGGAGAAAGCTTATAATTTAACGAAAAGAACGATACCTAACTCGATCCAGTTCAATCCGATTCAGGCAGTCATAGAGCCTTTGCCGTAAACAGTGTTCGTGAGTCGCTGCAGCAACGCATGACACTCGGAGGGTTAAATTATAGATAACACACAGATTACTATTACAAATTTGTTATGCAGTAAAACACATTTTCAAACCACAAAAATAATGTAACTAAATATTTTCATTTCGCCTAGTAAAATATAACCAGCTGTTCCCTTAATTAATAGTGCATACTCAAAAGTATTCATGTGTTCAAATCTAAACAAATCTTGTCTCCATGAGGAACTTAAAAAGCCACTGGGGCAGACCCCTGATGGAATTGCTCAGAAACACTTCTTATTGTTGCACACCTAGAGGATGATTGGAACCTCCATGCCAATTCCTGAGTTTTTATGGCTTGTAGTTTTTGATATATAGTGATCAGAGAGTCAATGAGTGGTATTTGACTTTTATAAGTAATAGCAATTTAAATAGCCAGGTAGCTGAATGGTTTTAAAATTTAAAGTTTGCCTTACAATTGGAAGTTCCCTGGTTCAATCCTGGGAAACCACAGTTTATTTATGGTTAGAGACTTAAGACTAGACCGAGCTCTCCTTTATCGTTGGGTTTTAAACAATGGTCCTAGATACAGAAACACCTTTTAGCAGCAAAATTACCCAAGGCATCTCATCCCACACTCAAATTATTTTGATATTTGGACGCTCCTTAATATTGTGTCCCCAATTCATGAAAGTAATATATCCTTTATTGTCGTAAGATTAGTAACTGGCTATTCAGTACATGCTATGAACAAGTCACATTGGTATACAATACGAGTAATGGTTCAACTATTGCAGACTTACGACGTTTTACAAAAGCCGAGACTCAAGCGTGCAACATCTTTAGCAGACCATGAGTTGTGGAATCCTCATCGTAACTTCAGCAGTCGTCAGTCTGTAACCAGCGACAGTCAGGTGAGTCCAATGTTTAACATTGTAAACATGCTATTTACAGAACACTGTACCATACCTTGTATTTATTGAATTGTTTTCCTTTTATAACCTATTTTTGAGTCCATAAACCGTAATGTTATTAATTCTCCAATACCTAGGATATGTTTAACATAATTCAAATAAATGATTAATTTAGTGACAAATATCAATGTTTAAAAACTTGATTGTAAGTTTCATCTATAAACTACCAACTTAACAATCATAAAACATTATTAAAACTCAATTTTGGCAACCAAACCGACATGATCAAAATACCAATTCTCTGATATAGGCTAAATTAAACTATTTCTTAAAAGGATGTGAATTTAATTTTTCTTTAATATTAAAAATGGCTTTAGCTGCATACTGATCGACCTAACTACTAATATGAATAGAAACTTGCTAAATACATTTTCTCACTTTGAGCTACTATACTTTTTTATACTAACTGTATATAATACTAACAGTAGAGTTAATGGATAGATTATTTTGATATTACATTGGGTTTTTATTGTTCTCCCTGTTATCCAACTTTCTGCCTTGTCCAACATTGATGTAACCGGTTTAAGTCGGATTATTGAGACTTTACTAGTAAATATTAATTTAATAATACAGTACATTGTATCACAAATAATCTGTCAAGCGTATTGTACAGCTTGTAAATAAATAAATAAATAAATAAATTACAAACACTGTACATTCCAGTATGTCTCTAGTTTACCCAAAAGTTTTGATTGTTGAGTTTGACGTCCTGTGTTATCAGAGTCTACCCGTGACGCCCCCGCGAGCTCACAGTCCCGAGTTTGAACTCGCTCCGAGAGAGTGGGAGCTTCGCCACGTCGAGCCGCCTCTGAGAAGCTCGTCACAGCTGAGCCGACGACCTTCTGAACCTGCTTATAATGTTTCTAGGGTTAATCTTTTGTTTTTTGAGAATGATGCATGTGTTTTCCTAGAAGGTAGATCTGCAAGTCGTCTGTGCGGTTTTGGATTCGCTTGCTCCGATTTAATTTCTGCAAAATAACAGAATTTAAAGTGAAAATAGTTGAGGCACCCCAGTAAAATATTTGCACAATCTACAATATCTACATTACTGGAAGTATTTTCATGCAGTTATTTGGGTTCCAACCCCCTCCTCCAGTAATAATCTTTTAACAACATTTTTATGTTTTTATTTTTTACATTATTGGAAACCTGTGCACAATAGTCATTTATTTAAAAAAATACCTTTTTAAAATATAAACTTAATTAAAAATAAAAAAAAACAAAAAAAAAAATTTGAGACACTTTAAAGAACAATTTAAAGAAGTGGTATAAATATGTGCATAGAGAAATAATATGTTTCTATAGTGCCAGCTAGTTTTGAGCCTTAAGGGTAAACATATTCAGGTTCACAAGGTCAAAAATAAAGACGTTAAATTTCCGCTGTGTCATGTTGCTCTTGTAACATGACAGCCGGTTTTAAGTATTTTTTTAGACTCAGGGCCGGATTTAGCATTTTGGCGCCCCTAGGCCCAAATAATTTTTCCGCCCCCTGTTCTGGTCACAGTTTCTTTCTCACAAACCTTTATTAAAAACTATATCATGCCTAGAGGCCTATGTTAATTGCTTGAACACCACTCCTCGTCGGAATGTTATCATATTGCAAGTTTTTTTAAGAATTGTCTTGGTTAGCCTTAACAAAATGCCGTCTTAAACACTTTTGGCAATTTTATGCTTTTAGCAAATGCTCACGCTTGTGGGACTGAAACAAAACAATCCAACCCACAGAGCATTTCTGCAAAAAAAAGCATGTCCATTGATTCCAATTTCAGGCCCCAAAACGTGAACTCCATAACAGTACGTGATACCATAGGTTAAACATAGGCCTTTAGTAGATTTTTCATCCTTAGGGATTAGCTGAAAACAATTCTTTTTATTTAAGTTTTATATGTTTTTTAAACCTAGTTTGTCCAAAATAAAACCATAGATAAAACATATAAAACGATCTAATCATAAACAATAGGTCGTCCCCTGGTTATATTACAAGAAACTAAAACACTCACAACGGCAACATCGAACTATCCCTAAATTAATAGAAACAAAATTACGTCAAAACTAACTTCCAGTGTCACCAACATATATGAACTAGACATGAAAAACAATATTTAGGATTAACAATATGATAACAAGTCGACTTGAGTTTATGGCTAATCTATGGTGGTACTGCATCCAGATTATATTTGCAAAGCAATAGTCCGGCCAACCATAATTATCCTCAGGTCTGAGCTGAGGAGGAAATGACACCAAATGGTGCTTTGGAGGGGATTTTATTTTTCTAAAACCTGTTGCAAACTCAGATATTTTTTTCGTTATTGAATTTTAAAGATAAACTTATCGTATTTTTAATATTCAAAACTTATTATATATTTTAACTTGACCTTGCAGGTTGCTGTAAACTGATCTAAAGATTAGTTAATACATTTTCTTTTTGTGAGGTAAGGGTGGTAACGGTGTCTAACACTAACACGCATACGCCCCTAATCACTCCGATCAGTGGCGTTGAGCCAGCATAGTGGCAGTGCAAAGAGTAGGCCTACAGTGGCAATACGATGCGTACCGCTCGGGCGCTCGACAACATCCCTACAGCCTACTCCCGTATAACCAATGTTCGTTATCAATGTTGTAACGAAATTGATGCGTAATGTTGAAAAACTGTTTATATTTTCTAACAGTTATTTCTTCTAATGAATTTAAAAATTATAATGCTTTATTGGCAAGAGTTTTTTTTTTTTACATCAACTCGCAAAATATGTTAAGCTATGGTTACTTATTTTATTTTTAGATATTAAAAAAATATTTTTCCTCTCGGCCGTGCGCCCTCTCCCATAGGCCCGGGCCTACCAGGCCTATTGGGAAATCCGGCCCTGTTTAGACTATTATAATAATAATATGTCTTTTTTTATTTCTGCAATTATGTTTGTTTTTATGAACTACGTTAACCTCCTTCAAGTGACATTTTTACTACTGAAACTATTTTCCACAACATCAAACAAGGATTACTATATGCAAGTATTTGAACCACATATAAAACAGTACAGTAATTTGGAGCTAAACAATCTTTTTAAAACTTGATCGTATTGTCTTATTTTACTTTTTTTCTAACCCCAGGATGGTGCAGCATGAGTTATTACGTTTTTTGAAGTGTGATTCAGTAAAGTATTAGATTATTGATTGTAATCAATTCATCAATCATTATTTAATTATTACATGTCACTCTGTTCCCCTACAGTACAGTCGCCGCTCTGGTTCACAGCCGTCCGAATATCTCAGCACCTTGGTGCAAAAACAGGTCAAGCAAGGGATGGAAATGGTCAAGTTATTAAGGGTGAGTTTTATTTTTATTTAAATCATGAAACTGTTGTATATACAGTACACTTTTCTAGTGAAAAAAGCTTGCACAATAAGAAGTATTTTGAGTTTTAAAAACATTAAACTACTGAATCACAGTAAAGTATACAACATAACTCCGAAAATTGCTATATATCACACACTCCTAACTTCAAATTCACACGAACTGCTGTAAAATGGCTGGGGATTATGCAAATTTGTATATTTGGAGTACAAATGTAAACAAACTATAGTTTCAAAATGTCTCATAGCACTCCTGTGACTCCTGGTAAAATTAATAAAGCAAATCAAGCAACTCAAGAAAATGTTTTCTTTAGTTTCACACTCATTGATTATGCCAAAGTTGGTGAGTTGGTGGCTCAGTTGTTTAAGCGACAGATTGTAAGAGCAAAGCAGCAATGTGGTTTTGCGCCCTGGTATGTCACTTAACATATTAGTGTATATTCTTGTAATGTATTGGCTCACCCCTTACCGTACTTTGTTTATTCCATTCCATATTATTCGGGCCTGAGACCCATGTGCAGAGCAGAAGTAAGGTTAAAAGTGGATACCGAAAGGTTAAAGTTAAAAGAATGTGAAGCGAGGTTACACTTGACGTTACTGTTACATGCCTTGTAGGAAGCGGAAGAGCAGCAGTTCAGTGCCGATGATTTGACAGTAGCTTTAGCTCAGTGTGGTGATGGTGATCCCGTGGCCTGGCTACGTGATAACTGGAGAAACATGATTGACACTGTGGTCACTCTTGCAACCAACTACGGCCACGAGCGAAAGGTTAGTAGAACCCCAGTTATAACTTTGTATCTATTATAAGTTGGATAGGAGCACAATCACATCCGTTCAGGTTAACTTCATTGTGTTTAGACTTTTTTCCTACGCTTATTTTATTTTTGTTTAGAACATACGCATACTCGTTTGCCACTCATTCTCGCTTACTTAAATTTGATTTTAAATATTTAAATCTAATAACTTATAATTCATCGACTCGAGTTTAGACCCGCCAGTTCCTGCCGGTCAGTGACTAGCAGTGGCTATAGTCCTGTTTAAATTTTAGCTACAAAATTACTATTAACCGGTTCATTTAGCAAAAAATTAGACGTACGTCTTTTTAATTAATTCACCGTTTTAATACCCCGAGACTTGTCGTCCGAGTTCTAAACCCTGTCTTGAACGGTTTACGGTTTAGTCTTAGTCATTCTAAAAGAAAATAGTGTTCGTATATCGGTATATCAAATGTAATATTTTGTCAATTATCCAACATTTAAAAAAGCAGTATTACAGCAGTTGTTTAGAATATGATTTTCAAGTTAAAACAACATTCTTTCAGGAAAACACCATCGGAACCATCTCAGTATCTGAGGCTAGAGAGGCTCTGAGGATGCACGGAGGCAATGTCTGGGCTGCCGTCACCGAGTGTGTGGAACAAAGGCAAAAGAAGGTTTGTAAATTGGACTTGGGATTATAATTATATAACAAACTTAAAAACTTTCAGTTCCAAACGATTTTTCCTCCCCAATTTTTTGGAAATAGGCTATAATTTGTCAAATAGTGCACATTTTAGCGAATTTCCCATATAGGGAATAAGCTATTACCGTAGTACTCATGGTAAGACCTGGACGCAGGACCGATTTTTTTTTTCATTTTGAGGTCCCTAGAGGCCAAAAACACCATCCGTTCAAATTCATATATATATATATATTTATATATATATATTTATATATATATATATATATATTTATATATATTTATATATATATATTTATATATATATATTTATATATATATTTATATATATATTTATATATATATATATATATTATATATATGTGTCCGTTAGCGCGATAACTCGAGCAAAAATGATCCGATTTTGATGAAATTTGGTACAAACGTGTAAACCTACATTTATTCGAACGAGTTCGCGATCCAGCATAATCGGACCATGGGAACAGGGGTTTATGGGGGGTTTTATGGGGTAAAAATGTGTTTTTCCCATTTTTTACCCTAAAAACAAAAAATTTTACAATTTTTTTCTATACTGTTTTGTAGAGCTTAAAAAAAGAAATAATTTAGTATATTGAAGCGCTGTTGTATGCCTAACGGTCACGGAGAAAATTCAAAAATAGTTTAATTTAAAATTCCCATGTTATTCTTATGGAGAAAATACAAATTGTTGTACAGTAGTTTACTTGTTTATGGATATATATTGATAAAATTTGGCAAATTTATTTAATTCATCCCATACTATTCACATATGGTCAAAAAAACACTTTTTACCTTCCCCGTAGCAGCAAACCTAAGCACTTGTTAAATCTAATGTTATTTAAATATGTCTTATTTATGGAAATATTTGAGTAAAAATGTAATCAGACAAGTTTAAATTCGCTTAGTCTGCAGGTTTGCTGCGGCGGGGGTATTTTTTTATTTCCAAGTTTGTGATGACATTTGTTTTGTAAAATACAAAAATATAGATAGCTTATATTACATGGCATAAATAGCAGTTAAAAATTATGTGGGACACTTTTGACAACCGTTTGAAACGATTGGCAGAAATTGTTAGCAATCAGCAGACTTTAAAAAAATCTGGCCTGAAGATCAATAAATCTTTCATCTCGAGTTCCTTTTTTTAGGTCTTGATTAACTCTAATTTAAACAAAACAAAAGTTGCAGGGATTACCCTAGGGCTGATAGGTGTAAGCCGAAGTTGACAGAGAATTGATTATGAGGTTACTGTTACCTATGCAATTATAGATATGTAAGCTACAGGAACAGAACATTGAGCATTAAGCTAAAACTACAGAGAAATAAATCCTACCCAAATCAACAAGGAAATATTTATATTCAATTTCAATCTTGTGAAATGGCAATTGTGATATTTCAGTGTTTGAAAGTGTTTCATTGAACAAGCAGCCATTAAACTGTGCTCTTTTAAGGAGGCTAATGTTTTAGATAAAGCTTCTGTTTAAAACATGTAGCTGTTTTTACAACCTTTTTTTCAAAATAGGTAACTAGTAGCAAAATAAATTTTTTAGGAGTAGCTCATAAAAAACACTAAAAGTTGCTTAACAAATTTTTTTATCAACAATCTCATTGATATTCACTATCATCAGCTATTGATTTGAGGTTAAAAGTACAATTAGTACTAGTAGTAGGATCTTTAAGATTACCAAACTCAAACACTTAATTTTAAGTGACAAAAGATATTTCAATCATAAATCCGAAATTTAAGACTAAAAAGTAATACTCCAAAATGAAACATGTCAAAGGTAAATGAAGTGAGAAGGCAACCACCAATATTTAAAATAGACAAATACCTGACCAAAATTGCTGTGTTTCAGTATGCTGACCTTATGTCCAGAGGCAACTTTACAAGAGAAGACATTGTGACTGTTCTGACGGCAAATCATGGTAACTTAGAAGCAGCTTACTTGGAACTTAACAAGTCCCAGTTGAAACCGTTCCTGATGCGTATCTGGGGGCCCCCACAGGGACAGGAAAATGAGAGCGGCAACCTGCTACGGGGAAATCAAGGTCATTTTAATTAATTTTGCAATGGGCTAGGTACATTTTTTACACTGAATATGATTGCAAGATTGTGTGAAATTTATACTGTGGATAGAAGTAGTCATTCCATTCCAATGTTTATGACGTTGTAGTTAGTTTTAGTGATGATAAATGTTGTTGGATTGAACCATTGACAGAAGGTGCTGATGTAATTATTGATTTTGTTTAGATACGCCAAATTTTTAACCGAGCTAAACTGGACTATTTATGAATTGTATAGTGTCTTTCATGCGATGTCAACAATCTCAGTAACAAACACAAAATGAGAAAATATAATTTTAGACCATTGAACCATGTCATTTTACATAAAATTGATGACAGCTGTTCTATATAAATCGGATGTCTACTTTAGTATCCAAAAGTCAATGGCATGGAGTGTACCTATGCAGCATTGTTTCTTACAAAGATCAGTTGTTTCCCAAATGATCAAGGACAACTGGTCCCAGTTCAAAACAATCTAACAAAATACAGTAACTTTTAAAGTGTTTCATAATCAAACTGGCTACCTTGGTAAAAAGTTTCTTGGTCAAAAATTCTAATGTAAATAAAGAGAAAATGTCAGTTAGAAAACCTTTATGTACAGTACTGAAGTCTTGATATAATTTATTATGTTTGCAGATGGGGCAGTGTTAGTGGAGGGACTGGGGCAGGGAGAGGGAAGTGGAATTTCCGAGGAGGTGAGTGACCCAAACTTTCAACGTATCAAGTCTTGGCTGGACACTTATGTGCATCGGTCGATTGAAGCTCACGAAGCTAAGTCCAAAAATAGCCAAATCCAAATGGATAGATTCCCTGTAGATGTTCCAGAGCCCAGGCTAGCGCAGAGTACTCTGGTTGATGATACACTTTCATCTCCCCCAAAAATACCTCCACGACATAAGGCTGTGAAGCAAGAAAATTCTGAAGGAGATTACGAAAACATTTTCAGAGGTGAGGTTGGTAATAGTCTTAGTTCCCAAACAAAAATTGACCAAGATTTAAGCAGTATAAATGATAAAAATGAAATTAGGCAAGTTGGGACTGATGAAATGGATGTAAATATGCCATTGTCAAGTGGGAAGGACAGAGTGGTTAATGTAGAGGAAACGCCTGAAAGCAAAGATGTAAGTAAATTAAACATTCCTAAAAATCAAGAACCTGAAGAGAAAGTCAACCCTAGGTTATCACCGGATACAAAGTTATCAGATGAAAGACAAATTATTGTGGAAAAACTAATAATCAATGGCAAAGTTCAGGAAGTAAGGAAATATTTATTTAATAAAGATGAAGCAGAAAGTTATTTAGAACAAAACAACCTCATTACCTCTGAACAATTGAGTTCTAAAATGATTTCTTCAGAAGACGGACTTAAATCAGTAAAAGCTGATCCTTCAGAACATGCATCAAACAATAAGCTAGAAAATGTAAAAACATCAAAAGTTCAAGACATTCCAGATCAAAAAGGTGGACTCCAATCAAATAATAATCATCCCCAACATCATTCAGTGCAGGAGCAGATTTCAAATAGTACATCCTATGAAAGCCTGTGTTATTCAGAAGATGTCATAGAAGGTGATAATGAATATAAAACCAACATTCCAAACGCTGAAGTCGTAACATCAGCAAAACTTGTCGTTAAGATGGATGCAGCAACAGAAAATTTGGTTGTCTCAAAACTGAAATCAGGAAAGCTCTCAGATAAAGCCAGCTCATCCTCTTCAGTCTCAATTCCTGAAAATGAGCCTTTACCATCAGAAAGAAAGCCACCAATAAAGGAATTGGCAATGAATATTGAAGCAGATTCGCCCAATACCAGGCGTGTTGTGATTCAAAATCAATTTAATAAGCCTATTAACATCTCAAACAACAAGGTAATTGATGAAAGCGAACCTTTAGACTACATAGGCTTAGCAAATAATGAAAAGAACAAATCTGAAGGTTTAATCAACATAGTAGAAAACAGGAGCAGAGTAATCTCACCTTCCGCACAACATGTAAAATCAGACTCAAGATCAAGTACGAAGAAAGTTTTAGAATTCGAAAGAGAAGGAAGCATCTCACCAAGTGCCTCAGAAATTATAGCTGGTTCTACCAACAACAGCAGAAATGTTAGTCCTGATCCTTATGATTCAGAAGATGTTGAAGAGTATTATGAAGAAGAAGAAATTGAAGACGAGGAAGAAGTCTCTGAAGAGGAAGAATTATTAGAGGAAGAAGACGAGAAAGGAATGTCAGAAGGAAAAGTTGCAGAAGAAAACCTTCTTGCCAACCAAAAGTATTCTGTCAACTTGGAACAAATTAATTTATCTGTATCACCTGAACCGTCTATGAAAATAATTCCTACTGCGAAAATTGGCATGCAACCTATCAAAAATGAAGGTGGAATTAGTAGTGAAATGCTGGTGAAGGTTGATACTGTCAATATTGTCAACTCTAATGAAAGATTGCCTACTTTATCTGACAAAAAGGATGATGCAAATATAAAACAAGATACACAGGATGAAATTGTCCCAAAAACTGAAAAGGTTTTGGAGGAGACAGATTCATTAGACACCACAAAACAAACAAATGTAGAAACAGGAAATTCTGTCTTGTTAATCATGGTAAACCAAATGCATGACAATTTCTCTGAGGTAAAGGAAAGAATTACTGTCACTGAGTCAAAAATCACCGATGAAGAAGAAAAACACCATACAAAACCAAACAGTCCTGAAGAAAAGGAAGCAGTTGTACATATCTTAAGTAAATCAGAGGAAAAAATTAAGAAGCCATTAAAGCGAAAGAAACCTGATAAGAAACCAATGTCTATGGCAGCAAATGACATAGAAAAAGTTACTTTTTTAGAAAATGTTATTTCTTTGGAGGATGATAAAGTAAACAACAAAGATAACATATCCATAGAGAATAAATCCTTGGCAGAGGGTATACTGCCAGAAGTATCTGAAATCATAAGTACGACCAATAACAAAAATAAGATTGAACCATCTAACAACAGCAAATCTAATGAAGACAAATCAGATCAAATTAAAGATAAAGGTGGACAAATTAAATCTCACAACAAACCAGCCAGTAAATCGGATAGTAGTGAAAAAGTTAAAAGTGAACAGTCAAAAATTTCTAGTGATAGGCCTAAGAATATTCATAAAATTGCAGTATCTGAAGAACTAGCAGAAGATAAAACTATTAATAAGACAGCTGAAAATATAGTTCCTGAAACAGAAGACATAAAAGAAACAATTTCAGAGATTGATGGCAGCATAACAGCTGTGTCAAGTAATTTAAAACTTCCGCAGGAATGTGATGAAGTAAATTCGTTAAGTGACTCTGAGAAAAGTAATTCAGATAAGACATCTTCAACAACTACGTCCCTAACTAAAAGTTTGGATATGGATCAACTTGGAGAAACAAAAGAAATTAATTCAAATTTGATAGCAACTGAAACGTCATTTGAAATTGATGGTAAAAATGATTCGAGTAAAAGTGATAAAGAATCAAACAATATTTCTCAATCAAACTCAAACACTCCATCAAGTGCAGCTATAAGTGCACTCGTAAGAGATAATACGAGCTCACCGCTGACCACTAATAGTGATAAAATAAATATTCCAACACCTTCATCAAGTTCACCTCTAAGTGTATCTGGAAGAGATACTGCTAGCTCACAGTTGACCACTAATAGTGATCAAACAAACATTTCAACACCTCCATCAAGTGCAGCTCTAAGTGCATCTGGAAGAGATACTGCTAGCTCACAGCTGACCACTAATAGTGATCAAACAAATATTTCAACACCTTCATCTGGTGTAGCTCTCAACGTAATCGACAGAGATGTTGTAAGTTCACAATTAAGTGCAACCACTAACAGTGATCAAACTAATATTTCCACACCGCTGTCAATACCTGAATACATTTTAAACGAGGCTCTCAGTTCTGTTTCAAGTGAAAGCGATAAACAATCCAGTTTAGGTAAAAACTCATCAACCAGAGACTCAAGCGACAAGTCACAGACAAGCGACAGAAGCTTGTCTATGATTGAAAGCAGGGCTGAAATATTAGAACTTTTAAAAGAATCTTTATCAAGTGACCTAGTATTGGATAGGATAGTAAGTACATTATTCGCGAGTGTTCTCAATCACGATTCGGTGGACATTAGCAAATCTGATGGGGATGAAATTGCTCTGACTGAGAGTGATTTGAAACGGTTACAAACATTTAGCTCTTCAGATTCAGAGGTAAAAACTGAAAGTGATTTCTTTGAAGCACAAGAAGAAGTAGAAGATGAAGATGCTGCAGAGAGAATTTCTGCTGAAAGTGAACCTGAAGATAATATTTTAGGAAATGAAATCATTAAGGCAGAAAGTTTGTTAAAGACGGTTGAAAAAGATGAAGTCGTAACTCCTGAACAACAAAGTTTCATTGAGTATGAGGTGAGTTTTCAGCTTACAAGTGTGGACCAAAGTTTGTGAAGCTTTTGGTGGTGCTGAATGAATCCCATAGATTAAAAGATGTAAATATTTGTTCCCCGGATTTGTTGATGAACTTTTCATGCTAAAAATTAATGGTTCAGGTTCAACCTCTAAAAAAAGTTCTGATACTCAATAAAGACAGTTTTCTTTTGTGGTTGAATAGCAGAACTTGGTCTTATTTTAGGTCTCCTTGTAAAGAGTAAGATTGCTTTGTGTCTTTGTATTTCAGCTTGCTTGATGTTGCAATCAAGATTTATGGGAAGGAATTTTATTGCATGTTGATTTGGAGGTTTTTAAGAGATTTTTTTAATACCGTATGTAATTTTTAGACATCACAAATAGCTTTTTAAGTTACTAGTATGTAGTTATTTTAATTTTTTTGGTAGGTAAAGGAAATAGAGTTCTTAAAATTATAAATTATTCTTTGGTAACATGATACCATAGTTAATCTTTTTGAATTGATCTTTTACTTTACAAATTCAAACAAATCAACAATAAATTTTGGAAATGTGTCAGTTTTTCAAAATTTTGTGGTTATTCACTCTGTGTTGTATACTGTATCTATGAAGTTTACTACTACAGTTTGTTTTGCAAGTGAAACCCCAAACAAAAAGATACGCAGGCAGAAGCAAAAATATGTTAGTGCGCATGTTCGTGCAAACGGCAGAAAAGCTGGCAGGCTCTGTTTGGTGAGCACATTTTTCTAGTGCCAGGAAGGATGATATCGGTTTGTCATATTAAAGTCTATTATTGACTATTGAATTAACTTATTAGTTTAAAATGTTCTTTCATTTCTTCTTTACTGGTGTCTGCTGTTCAATAAACAATTGAGTGTTCAGTTCAATCACAAACGATATCAAAACGCTATACAGAATATACTTCCAATGCGGTGATAGGAAAAAGTGCTTACCCCACAAAGTAACTCAATGTTTGTAAACATACTTATGTAAACAAGCCTGAGCTGGGTTTTCACCAGGCTGGCGAAACAAACTTTACTTTCTTAAAAAAAAAGGTCGATCGATTGTGAAATTGGTTTCAACCTTGAAAGAAACTTGTAAAATACTTTTTTTCTACTTACCTTAACTTACTTACCTCAACATTTTCAAATACATGATGTTTAATTTTACATTTCCAACAATTAGGCCTACATTGTTTTGTCAAATACAAAATAATAAAATACATTGTTAATCATTTTCTTTGTTAGCGCCAAGTGAGAAGGTACCTAGCCGAGGGTGTAGTGTCTACATATGATCAAGCTGAGCTGGTGGTGAAGCTCTTGGAGCTCAATTTTGATAGAGAAGCGTGTATTTCTGCAGCCACTGAGTGCAGCTCTCTTCAATCTGCGCTCACTTTTCTTCAACAGGACTGTCAACTTTGTGCAGGAAAATATACCATGAACCAGGTCAGTCCTAATTGTTAACATTCTGTAACACAAAATACCATGAAGTAATAAGTTTTATTCACAGGGTGTCTACAACACTCGCTGTAAAATTGACAAACATACAAAATTGCTATGGTTTTGAGGAACATTGGAGACCCTATCAAGCAAAAGAGGGTTTATGTGTAAAATATATTAAAATATATGAAGTGTATTAGTTTAGGACAACACAATTTGAGAAACTTTTGCTTGTGGATTGGGGAAAACTGTGTGGTAGAGATTCAAATTATAGGCCATGTCTTACTGTTGACACTGGTAAACTCTCTAATAGTTAAAACTTACTGTTTGACAAGAAAGGTTTCTCAATTTCATCCGTCATGTAAAAACTAACTACAACTGCATTAGTGCTTTGTACTCTTACAAATTATTGTTTGCCACTAAGATGGTCTCGATGCTGGAATGTGAGCATAGATGCTGCAAAGACTGCGCTCTCCACTACTTCACTCTGCAGATCACAGAGCGCAGCATCAACGACTGCGTTTGTCCATTCTGCAAACTACCAGAACTTCACTCATGTGATCCTGATAAGGTGAGTGACCGAATATCTTGCTTGCTTTACTAAAACTAATATTTATAATTAATTGACCTGGCAACAAAGCTTAGAAAACCATTATATTATTTATTAGTTTTACTTAGAATTCTGTATACTGTTAAATTTTACTTTCACGTCACTAACTCACAATTCAGGTTTAACCAATAGGAATGGTGAGTACATGGTTTATGGTAATCCGAGAATGCGGTAGGGAGCGGGACATGGAAGGCATAACACAATAACTAGTTTTTCGGACAAAATCTTAACGGGTTAAGCTAAACTCCACAAGAGCACACCCCCTCCATTCTAAGAGTTAAATTTAAAAGAGGGATTTGGAATGACATACTTAAGGCAAGGATATAATGATCAGAGGTTTAACAAAAGCAGCGATTTGACAGCATTTATACTGGTGGTTTTTGTTAGAAACAATAGTAACACAACAATAAGATGTGCTTGCAATTTCCCCCACTTAAAAAAATGGCAAACCAGAATCATTCTCTGATTCACAAACTCATTTCACTGTACTTTGTACATTTAAATATAACTAGCTGTAACCCGCGGGCTTTGCCCCGTTTAACTTCTTAATTTTCATGATCTCGTTCACATGGCTCAATCACGTCCTGGTTGAAGTTCGTTCGCTACGCTCACTCACCTTTAGGTTGGAGCTCGTTCGCTACGCTCACTCACCTTTAGGTTGGAGCTCGTTCGCTGCGCTCACTTGCCTTCAGGTTAGCTCGTTCGCTACGCTCACACTTGCCTTCAGGTTAGCTCGTTCGCTACGCTAACTCGCCTCCAGGTTGAAGTTCGTTCGCTACGCTCACTCACCTTTTGGTTGCAAATTAGCTGTTGTCATAAATGTAAAAGAAATAATAGTGCTGCACCCTGTTGGTAATCCTTGTAACTTTAATGCTATTGAACTTCATAGAACAGAACCAACTTGTTTAATTGAAACAGCTGTTAAGATTCATTAATTCCATTTCTCATAAGGTTAACATGGGAAACTCCAGAGCCACTGGGGCGGAGCCGATTGGACGGATCACGAAATTGATGGTGTATAAACGTATTCCATGAAATTCTACACGTATGTACCAAGTTTCGTGGCAATCGGTTCAGCGGTGTCTGAGTTTATCACTGCCAAACAAGTATACATATATTTATATCTACAAACATCCTCTTTTATACTTATAGATTATTTTGAGAAAAATTAAAAATACTCTAAAAAAAAATATTATATGTAAGGGCCCAATTAAACTTGTTTACTTGCAAATAACATGTGTTGACGTTTGTTCAGGCCCTGGACTACTTCAGCAACCTTGATATTCTTCTCAAGGGACTTTTGGAAGAGACTGTCCATGAACTTTTCCAGAGGAAACTTCGGGACCGGACTCTCATGCAGGATCCCCATTTTAAGTGGTGTGTCAAGGTAAATTAATGTTTATATTAAAATATATTTTTGACCTTTGACCTCTAAGGACTGCTAGAGATAGAGTAAACAGAAAAGAGAGTAACAGAATTAAGCCTTCACTTAAAAGTTATGTACGCAGGTATATAACTCAACTAAAACAGCTGAAAGCTATACCAGGCATGTCCTGCAGCCTGGTAGTCAAGTTTAGAACTACTATTCTTGGACTTTTGTTTATAAGGGTTGTTAGTGCTGTAGACAAAAGCTTAGTCTCCGCAGCCAGATGACAACTCCTTAGATTGAAGTTTGAATCCCATTGGTTAGGTTTGGTGTGCAAATAATTACTTCACTCTCTGTGGCAGAGATTAGTGGGGGTGACCCACCTAAAATAAACTGACGACTAAGATGGAAGTTGACTGAATGGATGGATATTTTGTGAGAGTCACCACAAATCAGAAATTTTGCTACTCTCAACCTCATATTCAAACAATATGTGTGTGTCCACGAAAATGTTTTGAAAACAAACTGAGGGGGGAAAATGAGCAAATTAGTTGGTTTCTACTTTCATCCAGTGCTCAATTTGTAAAAACTGAGGTTGTCGGAACTGTAACCTATTTAATATGATTAGTACCTGTGTATGCCAATATTTTATTTTTCTGAAAGAGAGGTACCGGAACGCCGTTCTGCCACAAATTGAGCACTTCTTCAATCTGTTTTGGAATCTAATTTCAGTTTTAAACTTGCAGTGTTCTTCTGGATTCATTGCCAATCCACGCCAAAAGAGGCTAGTGTGTCCAGATTGTCGATCAGTCACGTGTGCCAACTGTCGTCGTCCGGTGAGTTTAAAAACAATTACCAATTGGAAAAAAATTTATGTCATCAGAATTGCTCTGCTTAAATACTTCCATTGAGTTTGTGTGTACTAATTTGCATTATCGTGTATTTATTAATTTGTTAAAATAAAATGTATGATCTGTTGCCAGTGGGAGAAACAGCATGAAGGAATCAGCTGTGAGGCTTACGCAGCTTGGTTACAAGATAACAATGATTCCGAGACTCAGTTGTCTAAACATCTGGCGGATCACGGCGTCACATGTCCCAAATGTAACAACAGGTCAGATATCACAGACTGTAAAAAGAAGATTTGTTATTGTTTCAAGAAAAGTATATTAACCCGCTTATTGTTGGTCCAAAACAGGACCCAGCTACCCTTGAGCATTGGGCATTAAATAAATGAACTTGTATAAAGAAACAGCTGACCTTAGTAACTAATCGGTCAGCTTTGCACCATCTAAATCATCCTACATGTCTTAAGAAAAACTGGCATTTAAACATTGTTTTATATTTGCATGCCTTCATATTCAGATTAAAGTAATTGCACAATATGTGTGTCTATCTTCTAAAGTGATTATTCAATAATTGACAATTGTATATACACACGTGAAGACTAGTTGAATATTAAAATAAACATAAATGCCTGAGAGAACCATAATTTCTCTATTTTCTAGCTAAGTAACCTCTACAGCTTAAGTAAACACCATTGGTGATTGAATCCAGGCTAATAGGCCAGAAGCTCTAACATCTAGTGTAAGGGACATGTCAGGATTTCTCCAACACAAATACATTTGTTTCACTTGAGAAACATGTATTTTGTTTTCAGTTATGGACCTACGGATTAAGGTAGGCTCCGAATAACCAGTGCTTTTAGCACATAGTTAAAAACCATTGGTGATTGGAGGAATTTGATCCCTGGCCCCTAGGACAGAAGGCCTGTGCTCTAACCACTGGGGAGCAAGCTGATAAGAGTGTTAGAGTACGAGGCTTCGGTCCTGAGGTCTAGAGCTCAAATCCCACTGATTACCAAAGGATTTTATACACCTAATGCCGCGAACTGTTATGCCTAGCCTGAAGGAATGTATGTATAACGGTTCTTGGCTAGAGCCTAGATATCTAGGATGTGAAGGGAACATAACTAGGTGTACAGAGCAGTTGTCTGCTTGCAATATCAAACGGAGCTAGCATATTAATCCAATTCTTTTCTAAAGTCAATCTGTTTTCCGTAAATGAGATAAGGGGTTCAAAAAAGGTGGGGGCATAATTTTCACCTTCTTTGGGCCAAAAGAAAGAGAAAGTCAAGAATAACCCAGATATCCGCCATTTTGTATTTTATACATATAAACATTTTTATCTTTAAATTTGTTCTATCAATCTTTATGAAACTTGGTATGTGTTAAGGGGAGATGCCCACTTTTTAGATTTAATGCATTTTATATGGGTAAACATCGTGTTGCTTAGGTACCATTTAAGAAAGAACCCTTTTATCTATGCATATCAAATTTTAACTACTTATTTGTATTGACATTTAAGACAAACTGTACTAATTTAAATATGTTCTATCAAAAGAATCATATTTTATCAAAATTTTTAAAATATATAATTTTTTTCACTATTTTACAAAAAATAATTAATTTTATTGTTAATGTTTTTTTAAACATAGAAGCAAACTTTTAGTACACTTTGTGGGCCATGATGTCATAAGTAACAGAAAAATATTTAAAGTCAGTGGTACTTATAGTAGTCTGGAAAATGGTACCTAAACATTAAAAAACACAGTTTCGGAAAAACTCATTTAAAGTCAAGCCTAGGCCTACCCTATGCCACATTATTCCTCATCACAAACAGCACTATTATTATATACACATATGTTATGAAGAAAGAAAAACAAACAGAAAAAGATTTTTGTTGACTATTTAACCTAGCAACAACATTTATTCAGTGCAACCATTCAACAAAATTAAATTTCTGACATAAATTTAATTGACGCTAATTCAGCCCATTGTGACTAAAACCGAGTGTGTGGTACTATTTATATTATTTTTTATGATTGTTAGACTGTAGTAAATATATTAAAATTATATATTTTCTGAATCAGGAAAAGATGAAGAATTTTTCAATGCAATAAACAAAAAATTAATTTTTTGACCGAAAAACTGGGCATCTCCCCTTAATGTAGAAGAGACCCATGTTAGAAATTAATTCATCTTGATTCAACTAAAAATTTCAAAGATAACATACATAGGTACCAAGTTTCATAAAGATCTGTAGAAAAATTTTTAAGATAAAAATGTTTATATATGTATAAAATACAAAATGGCATATACAGGGTGGCAGAAAAGTAACTTACGCACCTATTATTTTGTTATTATAATAACAACTTAAGCCGACTTAGGCCGACTTTGGTTTTCTTTATGTAAATTGTTATGTTTCGTCAAGACCTGTAAACTGATACCAAACTCGACTATACCCCTGTCATTTCACAATTTTGAACTACCCCTTACCCCCACTAAGGGCAACATTTTCAAAATTGGCCATAATTATTTTAGCCCCTCATATCTAAGAAGGTTGTCGCAAACAGATTTCATATATCTCAAATGGTTGAAAAGTTAAGGGGGGTGTAAGTTACTTTTCAGCCACCCTGTATCTGTGCTCTTCTTTATTTTGACCCAAGTAATCATTAGGCCTACATAAATTATGTCCCCACCTTTTTTGAACACCCTGTATACTTGCAATGAGAAATATCAATGGTATATTTGGTTCACATAAATGGAATGTGTATTTGCGGTATCCAAAGTCAATTATACAGTATATAAGTCTGGTTCATGTAAATGAGTTGTCCACTTGCAGGAACCAAAGTATATGTTTCATCTGGTTCTCATAAATTAAATGTCTACTTGCAGTCTCCAATGTAAATGATATATTAGGTTAACTTAAATGGAATGTCTATTTCCAAGTTTTAAAGTCAATGGTAGGCTACATCTGGTTTACGTAAACAAATTGTTTACTTGCAGTATCCAAACTCAATGGTACTTTTGGTTCACATAAATGAATTGTCTACTTGCAGTATCCTACCGTTCAGGAGGAGTATTTGTAAAACAAAAGCAGGAGTGTGGTATAAGAGCTTCGCTACTCCAATTCACAACAGTTGTCTTATATTGCAGCTATTCCCTATCCAAAGGAGGCTGTATGCATCTGACCTGTCCTCAGTGTAAGCACGAGTTCTGTGTTGGTTGTGGCAAACCGTTCTCCATGGGAGCCAACTGTACAGTGTCTGAGTACTGTGCCAAGCTAGGACTTCACGCACATCACCCTCGCAACTGTCTGTTCTACCTACGAGACAAGGAGCCGCAGTTGCTAGAGAAACTGCTTGAGGTATGGCTAGTTTAGGAATAAAGTCCAGGTAGTAAAGATAAATAATCAAATGGACAGATTTTTTTTTAATACATTATTAAGAAAATATTTTTTGTCCTAATGCAGAGAATTTCAATACAATACTGGGTAAAGCTCTTTTAACTCTTCTAGGAGTTGAGGACATGAGGTGTTCATTTTTAGCAATTATAAATTTGCCTGCTGATTCCATCAAAACAATTGTAGTGATTAATGGATATACCATCATTTATCACTATCCAAATTTTGTATTTAGATATTTTACTACATTGCATTTTTTGCTACTATAAACATGTATTAGGTAGTACAAATACTCCTCTTAAATTAATATTTAAACAGATCAACTTGTAAAAATGTTTTTGCAATTTTACATTGTTGACGAATATCTTCTGCGTCTTAATAGTAACTTTCTTTAAAAAGTAAAAGTGTTGGTTTATAATAGCAAAATAAGTTGTATTTCAAAATGCAAATTATAAAGACAATCAATATGCCACATTTTTTACTTATCTCTTATAATGATAGATTATACAAATTTAACGTATTTAAGGTCAAATTCAAATAGCAACTTTTCATTTCCGGTTGCACAGGACCACGGGATAGAGTACAACCAGGAGCAGGGGGGTCCTGAGGGACCTTACGCCCGATGTTCTGTTCAGCTGCAACGGGAAACTCCTGAGGGACTCTTGGACGCCAACTGTGGATTGGCAGTGGAAAAAGCAGGACTTTGCAGGTAATTGGGTTTTTTTTTATTTTAAAGCCACTACCTAGTGACCTTTTTAATAAACGTAAACGGTCCTAGTTAAAGAATCAGCTGATCTTACACAGATCCACACCATTCTATACTCATTCTGCAAGCATATTCACCTTGGACCTTGAATTCACATTCACCCTGATATTTACCTTGAAATGTTTGTATTAAATATGCAACTGTCTTATTGACGTGATTAAGACGTTAAGACAATGTTAACGTTAAGTGGTAGCTATGCAGCTTCACAGTTACTGTATTATTAATGTCTATCCTTTATCATCTGGGATGTATACATCTCCATACTTGCAGTATGTAAATTTTTTTTTGCACAGTCAGCAGCATTCTATTAATTGTAAGTAAGTTTAAAATATTATTTTACACGCCTGCTATGTGGCAAAATTTTAAAAATAATAAAAGTATTATGTTACATTAAATGAAATATTCTTGGATGTCTCGATGTCTGGTTAAAACTACATGTTTTTTGGCCAGTGTTTTTTATGTGGTGTGTGTTTCTTGGATCTTAAGGTTTACTGTCTTCTACGGTTGGTCATGACATTTCAAATTGAACACAAAACTCGGGTTGATACAAAAACACATTCTTTTGCATAGGAAGGACAACCAGTACATTAAATATTTTTGGTGCTTTTTCACTACTTTATTATTACTTTTAGCAACTTGACAAACAATTGTACGGTAGCCCATTTGTTTTAATTTGAATAGAAATCAATTATTTCTGATTATCTACTTTTATAATTCTTGTTACGGTTTATATCATTTAGTTTATTTTTAGGTGACATTTTCCATTTTGTTTGAAAAAGGGCAGCAGTATTTAGATTGTTTGAAATTTGATCCAACTGTGCTAGGTCATTGGGGTCAAATATAAATTGTCTTTTTAGTATAGTTATAAAAAAAAATTAAATAGCAGTCAGTAACAAAGCTACACCTAATCTTACTCCATTCTACACTCATCTTGCATGCATATTCAGTTTAAAACAAAATGTGTTACTGCATTAGTCAAGTGATTAATTGATGAAATAAACTGTTTTGTTTTCTGCGATGACAGAAAATACAAGTTTCTTTGTCAGAGATTTTAACTAGTCTAAAGATAAACTAGATCAATATCGTAAATAGGAAGCATTATGTGGAGCGACTCTGTCGGATTGTACGATACCATCACCTAGAGTCCCTGTGGCTCTTGACGGCGGACGATCTAGAGACGTTAGTGAGGAGGGAAGGCTTACGACTCCCCCCTCGTCCTTATGGCACCCCACCTCTACACTACTACAACGCCCTCATGGAGGTATCCTGTGAAATCTGCAATGTTGCATCATGGGACAGATTTATAGTGTGATAATTTACAATTGAATCACATTAATATGAATGATATGTGTTTAAATGTCTTGGTCAAAATTAATCTCTTTTGTTACATCTTTTACACATGGGTTCTGTTAGTAATTCTGTTAGTAGGTGGGAAGACCCACCTTATCTTATTTAGTTATAAAAACAAAAACATTTACATTACTAAAACATATATCTGAATATTAATGAGATTCAAGATTGTGGTTTTTTGCCTTCCAACAGACACTGTAGTTTTTGAGACAGAAACAAAACATACACAACTCCCTTTCCACTCAATGTCCTAAATTGATTTAACAAAATGTAAATGAAAGCAACGTTAAGTGATGTTAAATATTGACAGCTTTAGCAATCACATACATTTTAACAATTGCTCTAGAAAAATATTATTTTAGAATTTTGAATATTGAAATATATTGAACTATATTGAATTTTGCTTCACAATTTATGAAGATATAAAAATACAAGCCTATCAAATGTAGTAAGGTTGTTCAGTAAACAATAAAAATAACAACATAAACAATGTTTATGTTATGAGTCAATACCGGGATATCTTGATGGTGAAACTCCACAAAAACCTTTGAAAAAGGTTTAGGTTGTGAAATAAGGCAAAAGGGTCTTAGTTTCTGGTTCTGAGTGAGAAAGAGTAGGTCCTTACATATCACCTACCTACATATCAGTCCTTAAGTTTAATGAGCCCAAAAACCTCACACCAAAACAAAACTTAGAATATTTCTTTGTCACTGAGAGCATAATGTGACAGTTGAATGTGCTATAGTGTAAAGCCCATGTTTATTGTACCAGAATGAACTATTTCCCAATCAGGTAAGCCAACATCCTTATCCCAACATGCTTATTTCAATGACAGTAGACATATTACAAATGCAATGGAAGAATCAAACATTTTTCATGCAGAGCAGCTGTCAACACAAATCCTTTTAACGATGTCTGCTGTTTAGTTTTTCATTTATAAAAAAAAACTTATTGACTTACATTTTTCATCACTAAACCTAAACAAACTGTCTCAAAAACCACAAGGTGAAGATCTTTCATATGGTTTCAACTTTATTAGTACTAACACTTGATCTCTAGTCAATGCTTGTTTGGCGTGTGCGTAGGACCCACTTCATTGAGTACCTGGTGAAGCTGATCGGCAAACATAAGTTGGACCCGGTATCCATCTTGGACTTAACGGAAGTCATGCAAGAGTTACGCAGACGGGGGAAACCTCTGCCAATCAGAGCGAGCGGACAGACCGACGCAGACTACACGACTCTCTGCGCTCAGGTACTGACTCTAGCTGCTGATTGGTTGGGGCTCTCGTTTGCGACTTGAACTTGGCCTTTGTTGTCCGTTATCCTTTGTTATACTGTAGTAAAAAAATTTTTTGTTTTAAAAACGTTCTTATTAACTCGATTTCTTGTCTGTTCGGTACAAATTTGCAATAGATTTTAAACTAACTTCCCTACCCGATGAGCTAGAGACTTGAAACATAGCTCACAAATGGATGACAATGCAATATTAAACCATTTTATTTCCATATTTCCCTTGGGCTACGTCCAACCGTTTACATAACCATTCACTATATGGCCAAGTAGTTGAGTGGTAGTCAGCTAAAAATCTGAAGCCGGTCTGAATATGTGAAAGTAAAAAAATTACTCAAAAGTCTCTGAGTAGCAAACCTAAGTACATGTTTATCCAATTTTACATGTAACAGCCGTTGTCTTGAATGTTTATCTTTTAGAACACTGACCCGGTGAAAAATGATTTAAAAAAATTAAATATGATTAACTACAGGATTGCTGGGACAGGGGTATTTCAAATTTTAATTTGAGGTTCAATTTATTTGAAAGCATAGTGTACTCACTGGATGTAAATAAGGGTGTGTTTATTTTACTGTTATTATAACAGTACCTACATAAGTTCAAGATGGTGTAGGGTTCCACATTCGAGTGGTTAGTTGTAAGAATACTGCCGTACGTTTGTATTGGCCTACTTTAACAACTTTAAGAAATTGATTTCATGGGAATCCAAAGCTGATTTTGAGTATGTTTGTAATTTGTTAAGCATCTAAATTTGTTTCATTTGGCTTTTTCTATAGAAAATATTTAGTAGGCATGACTTTTTTGTTTTGTAACAAAATTATTTTAAAATAAATTTGATGTTAAAAATAATGTTAATCATATCAGTCTTGTGTCTTACTAAAGGTTACTTTTTCTAAAGTTTCCTTTCCTTTAAAAACTATCATATTTGTAAGTACAGTAGAACCCCTCATAACCGACCTTGGAATAACTGACTCCTTGGGATATCCAACCTAGTGTCCGACCGTCTACTTGTTTCCTGTATGGGGCGATAACGCTGAATGCGATTAGGTAACCAAAAAGCAGATCGGGGATGTTTCTGTAATCGCAGCAGACGAACACTACTGTCGCCGATAACAGGACTGCAAGTTACGCTCACGGGTATTGCCGCCGTCACAGGAGACAATTACCAAAGTCACGGAGACTGCAAGTTACGCTTACAGGTGTTGCCGCTGTCACGGGAGACGATTACCGAAGTCGCGAAGACTGCAAGTTATGCTCACATGTGTTGCCACCATCACAGGAGACGATTACCAAAGTCGCGAAGACTGTAAGTTACGCTCACGAGTATTGCCGCCATCGTGGGAGACAATTACCAAAGTCGCGGATTCTACAAGTTACGCTTACAGGTGTTGTCCCGATCGCAGGATATGGCCGGTCCCATCAAGGTAGGATATGAAGGGTTCTACTGTAGTTAACTTAAAAAATACATGTCATTCTGGTGTACAATAATTGTAATCCAATACCTGTTGTATATTATTTCAATTTAGTTTAAACACTTATTAATTGTTTCTTTTACTTTGCAGGTTGTTCAAGAACAAATTCCTTTGGAATAAATTAACTGCTTTGGAGTTACAAATTAAGTACCGTAACAACGTCCTTCTCACCAAAAGTGTCCTTACTGGAACTTATGACATTAAAAATGTAAGAAGGCATAATACATATTGCATTCTCGATCAATGTTTCCTTCCGAATTCCCAATAGGGAAACCCATAGGTAAAATACCATTTTTACCCATAGGTAAAAATACCATCACATTCATGCTTAAAAATGCTACAAAATCAGGGAAAGTTGATGTAAGCATGAAAAATGTTTTTAAAATATGAATAAGTAATATTTGTACCTAATTTTTTATAATGAATGTGTTTCTGTTTCTGTATTGACTGATACCATTGACTTTTGGTAGGGCAAGTAGTCTTCATCAGACAAAGTAAGCCAGAAAAGTCACGATTCTGCATTTGTTTTTTTAACCCTACCAAGAGTGAATTGTAGCTTGGATAGAAATGAATTCAAGTCAGTATTGATTATAACGGTTAGAGTTGTTTAAGTGATTTCAAATATCTGAAAAAATAATTACAATATTTTGTTATGTTTTAATTTTTAATATCAAGAAAAGATTGTATTTCTAAATTTAACCAGGCCTACTATCTTCTTTTATATTCTAGTCATTTTTTATCAGTATAGAATTTATTAGTTAAATTTCATGAATTAGTAACTGTTAAGTTACATGTTATAAATTTGTAATATCGTTAGGTTTGATTGTTCATTTAGTTAATTATTTATTGTTTATTTGTTATAGATATTTTTTGTTACATCATTAAAGAACTTAAATTATTTTATTATTAGTTTATTTTACCTAAATAGGTACTTCTCTCCCTCTTTTAAAAACTAGTCTTATGTACTCTAGCCATTACACAAATGTACAGTTTTGTACATGCTCCAGACCAACATAAGACATCTTCTGGAGACGTTATATCTTTTTAAGTTTTGTGTTCCTGTGAGCTTTTATGTTGACAACATTATCTTGAATCGGTATTGACACATAAATTGTCTTAACTTCATTTAGATTTTTAATTTGTTACTCTTTTTGAACTATTATGAGTTAAAGAAATTAATACAAACCTTATAAGAAGCAAAATGCTTATGGAGAATAGTCAGACTCAAATTTGTCCATCGAAACGAGCTTTGGCCGCCACTAGGATGCACTCCCGCGGCGGCCGTACTAATCTCCTCTATCTCTCTCTCACTAAGACGGATCTTTTTCTCACTTTCTCGGACTCAAGTCAGTTGACTTGTCCGTGCGCTCGCGATAGTAGCGCCTTCCCTTCCTAGCGGCCGCCGCAGGAACTATCCAAAATTTAAATATTACCAGACTGAATTTTTACCATAGGCAATGCGCTTTTTATAAGGTTTGTATTCATTGGTATTGTAAAGTGAGATGCTTGAGTGATATCTCCCCTAACAAATGATTATCTACAGTTTGAATGAGTTGGATTTGTGAATAATAAAAAAACAACCAGACATAGATAGTCATAGATGGTCTCATTTATAAGCAATCACTAATCAGTCTATGATCATTCTATGAAAACTAGAAGATGTGCCTTCTAGTTTCTGTGCCTTCTTTGGGTCTGAGAGCTGTGCATTAGTCAATGTATTAAACAATGAATAGAGGTCGTCCAGTGATCGAAAACTCAACCAAAAATATGTAATGTACAAGCTTCTCTATTTTTAACCCACGCTGTAAGTAAATTAAACATGTGATTGGAATTTCTTCCATTTTTTTTATTTTCTGTTTATATTTCGTCACCAGCATGGCAAACCATAAGGCCCATGTTAATTTTTTTTAATTTTAAATTAATTTTTAGTGTGTATTGTTTTACCTATTTAAATTTATAAAGGGATTCTGCACATCTCTAAGAAAATATCTTTCCAACAGCATGTGTAGATTTTCCCTGCGATGCACACAAGACGAGAAAAAAGGTTTTAAATAAACATGCTTGCCTATTAATATTTAGATAACCCAATAGATATCTTTTATTAGTATTACTCTTTCCCTCTATACCATGGTGAAAGTATTGTTTTTGTCAGAATTTTCGAGTATGAGTTTTGGGCGAATATTTCCATTTTGTGTCCCCCTGAAGTCTAAACCCCAAAAAGTGGTTTTCAAAGTTCTGTGTGGATGTGTACGGAGCTGCAGACCACACCTGTAGTCTGATTGAGATGACATTTGGTATGCAGGTAATAATCCATAGTATCTCCAGGTCTTTATTTTTCTTTTTGTTCAAATTTTAAATTGAATGGTGATTTTTCTATAAAAACCCATAAAATAATGAAAAATCAAATTTTCTCAAAAATGGCCCAAACGATAAAAAAAAATTGTGTTTATAGGCCTAGTCCTTTAAATTCTGAACAAAATGGTAGAACTTTGATTGCTATACAAATTACGGTTAGAAAGTTATTGTAACTTATGTTATTTTCCCATAAAATAATCAGATTTTTTTAAAGCCAGTTTTGATTTAAATTAGTATGTACTCCTTAAAACCAAATAACTTCTTGATCAGCATTGTCCTTATAAATCTAAAAAAATACTGCAACCCCTATAGCTGAAAAATTATGGTCCAAAAGTTAATGCAGCTTTGTGATTTTCCTTATAAAACATCATTAGTTACTCCCACCACTTACTTACCCATGAGTAAGGTTGTTGACAAGTTAATGAAAGAAAGTATTTGTTAGATTGATGATAACTTTTTTTACTATGTTTTTACAGATTTAGTCTGGAAAAATTAAAATAATTACAATATGCTTATCAGTCACCAACATAAAATCTAAACGTGCGTGGGAGGATAAATTAAAACAATACCGTATTTGAAAAAAGTAGTTTATAAATAAGTAAGTTGAAAAATAAGTATAATGAGTAACATCACATATTGTCAAGAAAAGCATCCAATAAAGATGTCTTCTTTTTTGGCATGGGTGTAAGTTGCAACGCTTTCTGCATACGTTGCTGTTCTTTTACAGATATTTTCTTGAAATATTTCTGATCTTTACCTTTGTTTATAGCAGGTTGTGTCTTGTTTATACTGACAAAGGTACTTTTTACACTTTCAACCGCAGCAATATTCAAACCAGCATATTTAGCTATCTTCTTCTTTTTCTTCTTTTTTCCAAGATCTTCAGCAACAACTACATCATCGTCTTTGTTTGTAGACTCTACTATTGGTTTTCTTAATTGTATTGGTGTCGTCTTGGAGCAAAATTTACATTTGAATACCTAAAAAACCGAATATCAAAAATAGTTCACAGTTAACAAAATTGTTAAAATGTACAGTAGTGTTGTTGGCCATTTTATTTGAGTAGATGAACTTAAGAAAGAATTGGTAAGAAAATAAAAAATACTTAAAAAATTAAAACAGGTTAGTAGTTATGGAAGGAGAGGATTTTATGGCGAATTGAAATGAAATTGAAAATTTTCATATATGTGTATTTGTGATTGAAAGTTGAGGGTTGGTGTTTGTTATTGAAAGTGAAAGAGAGAATGAAAGAGAGAGAGAGAACGAAAGAGAAAATGTAGGAGGTAGATGGTAATGAAAGAGAGAGGGATAGAGAATGTTTGGGGGTGGGAGTGATAGAGAGAGAGAGTGAAAGAGAAAATGGGGGAGGTAGAGGGGTATTGAAAAGAGAGAGAGAGAATGTGAGTTGGGAGTGAGAGTGAGAGAGAGAGAGTGAAAGAGAAAATGGGGGAGGAAGAGGGGTATTGAAAGAGAGAGAGAGAGGGGAGATAGAGGAGTGATAGTGAGTGAGAGAGAGAGAATGAGAGTGAGATGGTGATTGTTCATGATGATGTCATTGTGTTATGTGTGTGTGTGTGTGTGTGTGTGTGTTTTTATTTTTATTACTGCTTTATTCTGTATTACTTGGTATAGTTTATTATCAATTACTCTGTTATAGGTGTTGTACATTTTAATGGATAGTAGTATGTTTTTATAGTTTGTAAAATTAAAAGATTTGGGTAAATTCTTTAGTCGTGGTATGGTATCTTTCAATGTCCTGTACCCGTATGTTTTACTTCTTACTGTAACGAATTCTAGAATGGGATTATTAGGAGATGTATCTTTGAATTTACCTAAGAGAGTATTAGAAATGAAATGTTGATCTTTTGTAAATGAAGTAGTATCAGTGAATACTTGTATTGCAAATGAATCGTTGTCTGTGTATATTAAATTGAACGGTGGGAAGTACTTTTTCAAGTTATTGTAATACATGTGGTACATGTATCTCTTACTTAGATCTAGTATTGAAAATCCTACAGGTATGGGTTTCTTGCACTGGACCCTTTTCTTTTTCATGAATATTATATAATTGTTTTCATTTGGAATTAGTCTGTCTATGAACGTTGGTTGTTTTATTAAGTACATGAGTTTCTTAGTGTTGTCGTACAGGAAGTATTTGTTTAGGTTTTCAGTTACTTTTTCTATTGATTTGCCATAGATTAAGTTCGATTGCAGTTTAAAGAAATTTGAGAGGGTTTTGTCATGTGAGTTGGTTGTTCGTAATTGGGTGTTTATGTCTATGTAGGGTTTTAACCAACATGATTGGTTAAATGAATTTACTCTATGGACTTTCTCTAGTATCATGCCCATTGACAGAGCTTGTTCTAAGGTCTTGTAATGGATCACGTAATGTTTTCTATCTTTGAAAGAAGATATTAATGTTCCTGTACCTCCATCGTGGTAAGGGCACAGTGGATAGTCTATGTGATTGGTATTGTAAGGGTATTTTAAATCTACTTCTAAAATGTAACCTGTACCATTGGTAGTATTATTGGTAGTGTTAAATGTTGATGGTGAAATCCATTTGAAATTGTCAAGTGGAAGTGGTTCTGTTGACATTATAGTGGCGTATAGACCTATTATATTGTAAAAGTATATAAATGAATCTGGTTCTGAGGCATTATAGTTTGGAAGAGTATGGTGGTTTGATTTTGCATAGCTTTTAATTACGGATGTATATCCACCTCTTATTCCTTTCATTATCATGTTGTACATGTCTATGTCGTTTAAAAGTTCTATTTGGACTTTAGTGACTTTGAGCATGACGTCGAAACAGTAAGAACCTATTGTCAGGTAGTGGAAGATGTCGAGGTTATAGTTCTCTATACAGATTGATCGTATAGATTTTAGTTGATGGAATGGTATATCATCGGGGATGAATTGGAAGAAATCTAAAAACTTCATTGTCGTGTTCTTGATTCTTTTTGATATGCACAAGAACTTCTCTATCTGTCCCTTGAATGGGATGAATTTTATGTTTGCGTTGACACTGGTGAAGTAGTTTAACAGTTCTATTCCGAAATCTTTAATTATTATAGGAACAAAGTGTGGTAGACAAAGTGTAGATAGTTAAAGTTACATGATGAATGGGCGTACCCTCTTACTTTTCCATTTACGTGATTATGGTCAAGGACGTAGTCGTCGTCAAGAATATGACCACATATGTGACAGGTGTCATTGATTTGTGGTTTGGGAGGATACCAGTTAGGAGGGATATTTCTTTTATATATCCCTCCTATTGATTCACATTCACTTTCTAATGATATCATGAATGTGGATATGTCTGGAAAGGAAAGTGTACGTATTATTTTACTTGATTCATCCATGATATTGTATGTGAGACTTTCTATGGAGTATGTACCTATACGATGAGTGAACGATGTATTTGGATTTGGTTCACAGGTATCCTCTTTGACTAACTTACTTTTTATGTCACAGTAAATGACAAAGGGTATCTTCAACTGTTTGTGGTAATTTTTAAAGAACAGTTTGGTACCAGTCTTTGGTACAACAATGGCAAAGTATAAAGAAATATTCATGATGCATATAACAGATCAATATAATTAATATATCTTATCATTTTTAAAAGTTGAACTTGTTTTTATTATGTTTTCTACAACATTTTTAAAACAAACAAATTACAACCAATTACTTATTCTTCATAAGGATAGAATAGGAAGTTTTAATTATTATGTTTTTGGAATATTATTATTTATTATTAAACCTATGAAAACATTTCAATATAGCCTAATAAATTATTAGTTTTTTAGCTTAAACTTTTAAGTCAAAAATGAGGAAAACTTATTTTTACCTCAAAAATAACAATATCCCACTATCACAACCACCTTCAACTACAGGCTGTGGCCAGCAATAATTGACAGTGTTGTACTGAGTATTAGCTCCTGGCAGTTTCATCATTATGGTAGTGTGGAACTAGTGGTTATGTTTTAAATATACTGGTTAGCCTACTTAATTTGTACCAATGATGTATTGATTTTAAGAGACAGTTAATTATCTTGAACGTTTTAGCAGTACAGTAGTGGTAACAGTAGATGAATTACATTTAACAGTGGAAATAAGTATATCATTAAAATTTTTTACAGTGGAATGGACGTCTATTGATGTATAGATCAAATCCATGATTTGAACAAGGAGATCTTGTCTAACACGTTCCTAATTGATTGTTTTTTAGAGTCATTGTTTACTCTCAGATTGGTTTTGGCAGTATTTTTAATTTTGAGACAAATACTATAGTGGTCTGTGACTGAGGTCTGTAGAATGGCTGAGTTGGTTGTAAAATTAGGTGGAAGTTTGACAAAGTAATGATCAATATATGTGTTACTTATTGGTCTTGTTACTATGTCTATACACTGGATGAATCCTAGGTCACTTAGTATGTCTTTAGAAGTAATGGTCTGCTAAGGAATTTAATTGAGGGCACAAAATGTCACAGTTGATGTCACCTGTAATTATTTTCATGCTAGAACAAGTTGTTGAATTTGTTATACAGGGTGAATAAAGTAATAGTCAAGACCCCCCCCTCTAATATTTTTCCAAGTAAATATACAGAGATATCCTTTTGGTGGTCAAGCAATTTTATCAGGAAGTTTCATTTTATCATTTTGAAATTTTTGAGTGTCCCCCCAAAAGGGGGGATTTGGGGGGCAACTCAAATATTTTAAATGTAAACCCCCTTCAAGTGACACCTCATTTTGAATTGTTTGTAAAAACTTAAAGAATGGTGAAAACTAGAAGTCGCTATCTCTTCCCTATCCAAAATGGTAGCCCGTCAAATGTTGTGGAAAATCAACGGTAAAATTGTTAATATTGGCTGCCATTTTGGATAGAGAAGAGATAGCGAGCTCTGGTTTTCACCATTCTTTAAGTTTGTTTAAACACTTCAAAATGAGGTGTCACTTGATAGGGGTTTCTATTGAAACATTTTTAGTTGTCCCCCGAATCCCCCCTTTTGGGGGACACTCAAAAATTTAAATGTAAACCCCCTTCAAGTGACACCTCATTTTGAAGTGTTTACAAAAGCTTAAAGAGTGGTGAAAACCAGAGCTCGCTATCTCTTCTCTATCCAAAATGGCAGCCAATACTAACAATTTTACCGTTGATTTTCCACAACATTTGACGGGCTACGATTTTAGATAGAGAAGAGATAGCGACCTCTAGTTTTCGCCATTCTTTAAGTTTTTACAAACACTTCAAAATGAGGTGTCACTTGAAGGGGGTTTACATTTAAAATATATGAGTTGCCCCCCAAATCCCCCCTTTTGGGGGTACACTCAAAAATTTCAAAATGATAAAATGAAACTTCTTGCTAAGATTGCTCGACCACCAAAAGGATATCTCTGTATATTTACTTGGAAAAATATTAGAGGGGGGGGGTCTTGACTTTTTATTCACCCTGTATATTCATGTAAACTATTAATAACGATTTGCAAAGACAAAGCAGGGCTGTGATACATGGCAATTAAGTAATAATTCACACCTGCCCACGTAAAAGTCAAGGAAAGACTCATAGTGATACCACCAATTAATAACTGGCTACAGGAAATTGATAATGAGTTATCTATATATATTACTATTCCATTGTTCTAATTCAAGTTGTTGTAGCTTCTAAATATGTTATAGCCATCAATAGTTAACAAATCACTATCATCATTTAACCCAGCTTCAGTCAGAATAATACAATGAAATTTGTTTTTTATACCCTAAAGTATAATTATATATTTTTAATGTAGCTCCTGATATTTTGGTGTAAGACTTTAAACTTATAAAACAAGTTACTACTATCTAAATTATCATTTAATAGTTTGTGATTCAGTTAAACAATTTCTTTACAAATAACAAAGGGAGATTCATCATAATCTATGTTTATTGTCAGACAAAACTATTGCTCTGCCAGCCAGTGGTGCAGCCTACCATCAATGGT